TCCAGCCGTCACCCTTGTGCCCCAGGCAGCGAAGATAAAGGAAGGAATGAAGGAAGCTGGGTTCAGGAAAGGGCCGCAGGACACTTCTGCATACATTCCACTAGCCAGAACATTTTTACATGGCCATGACTAGCCGCAAGGCAGACGGAGAAGTCTAGTGTTGTCTTTATCCGGAAGGCCCTGTAGCTTAAAAATCAGGGGTTCTGCTATTTTTTTTTTAAAGGGGAGAATGGGTAATATAGTATCTAGTTCAGGGAATTTCAAATTACTATACATAGAAATTTGGAAGAGCTGCTAAAATAAAGTTTGTAGAAGGAGTGAGTATGCTGAAGAACATCATGTGAAAGAAGTTCCCTAAAGAAAGATCATGTAACTGAGATGGAGATCCGGAAGTGGCTGAGTGGCTTCCACACATCTGCTGCCCTGTATTTGGAGCAATCTACACTGAGACTCAAGGGCAAGAGGAAGGAAAGTAAGCCAATCTAAAGAAAGTTCATGAATCTTTCTCTGTAAGTGAAATTGTGGTGCCAAATTGAGAGACAGAGCTATGGGACTCGAAGACACTAGTGTTGAAACCTGGTAGACATGTCTTCGCTGATAACAGAATACTTTAACTAAGTGCAACTAAACACTCTTTGAGGAGATCTAGATGAATAGTAAGAGAAAGGGAAGAATGGGGATAATTTCATTTTTGTTTCTGTGTTTTTTATTTACACTTAAGAAATCATGAGCAGGTGCCTGTGGATTTTGGCATATACTTCTCTAAAACAGTAAAATTTAGAAAGTGAAACTTAAAGCCACAAATGTCACTTTTAAATTTCTATTTACAGTAGAAGAGAATATTATTTAAACTGTTTCCTGAACTATTACAACATAAATCATTTCACAATATATTTTTTTTTTTTTTAGTTTTGCTCAATACCCACTCCTTGCCTTATGGTGTATTGTAGAGTAAGTACATCACTCATGTTGGTCAGCCTTCAGTTTTTGAAGAGTGCTCTCTTTTACAAAACTATTTTGTGGGAAACTCATTTATAAGTGACTGGACTGTGAGCTAAGCCTTATTAATAACATTGTTTAACAGCTCAAGATAATGAATTCAAATAATGTTACTGACAGGCTTTGAAATGGAAGTCTCACTTTTTAAAAACACTGAAATGTATTTATCTCAACTGTCAGCCTTCTTCAATATTTTGAGGAAAAAAATGTTATTTCATTCCTTACACTGGTTTTATATCTTAACAGAGGACTCTATTATACTTGAATATTGTTATACTATCTTAACTAAAGCAGTCACAAAAATAAAAGCCATTAGCCTCTGGCCTTTCAGAGATGTTCCCACTCTAAGTTCATGTGCACGTAATGAAAGTAGCGAATTAATCTATAAGTATTAAGGGTTTAAGAAATATTTTGTTAAAAAAAGAAAAATATTTTTGTTCATTGATTGATTGATTGATTTATCAGCTATACCTACATAAGAGGAACTGAGTTTATTTTGAAATCCTCAGTTTCCTTTCCTCTACACCAGTAGCTATTGCTGGCCACTAGCATGTTCTTTCCTTTGTAGGAAGTTGTGAAATTGAGAGAGAAAGAAACAAAGCCAAGTTGGCATTATTTTTAGATCTCCTCTGATTTGGATATAGCTACAGTTCTCACTTTTTCTCATGGCAACTGTCATAACTATTCAAAGGAAGAAAATGAGGCAAAGGGGAGGATCAGGGAATTGCACCAAAGGACAATGGCAGGATTATTGGCAGGAAGCTGAGCTGCAGGGATCCGGGTAGCTTGAGAGCTTCTTGGCTCTGCTCTGCTCCAATGCAGAAGGGCTCCTACCACAGTGCAAAAAGTGAAGTGTTGCCTAAACCGGGTCTCTCCAAGGCCAGGTATCCGTGCCCTTGGTGAAATAGTTTAAGCTTTCAGCTTCACACTTTCCTCCAAATTATTAGTATAGTGGTAACTCTGATACCCAACCCCTTAAGGGCAGGAGGGTTGTTGCAATGGTTAATGATTTAACCAAGTTTAAAATAGCAAGGATAACCTATTTTTACAAAATTTCATTTTATTCAGCTTAACAAGACAATGCATGTTAGCTTAGATCAGTAGTTGACATGCTATGGTTCACTGTCTCTTTTTGTGCAGCCTGCAAGCGAAGAATGACTTTTACTTAAAAAAAATTTTTTTTACATTTTTAATAAGTTGAAAATAATTAAAAGTAATATTTCATGACATATAAAATTGTATAGAATTAAAATTTCAAAGTTTGTGAAAATTTGTTTTCTCTCTTATAGTGTAAGTACCTACATTATATCCTTGAATTTGTCTATTGCCCTCTAAAGCCTAAATATTTACTACCTGGCCCTTTCCAGAAAAAGTTTGTAGATCCCCTGTTTAGAAGAGCATGAAATTTAGTGGCTGGCACACCTCTAGGGCTGCCATTTACTGATTGTATGACCTTGAGCAAGGTCTCTGTTGCAATGGTAAATGATTTAAGCCTCGGTTTCTTTGCTTTTAAAATGGACATACAAATAATATATTGCAGAGTTAAATGAGGTAATGTATTTCTTGTGCTTAACATAATACCTATCAGATGGTAAGGGATCCACACATTATTATTATCATTGTTGTTTTACCATAAAGCAACTGAAGATAAACAAAATTGCAAAACTAAGAAAATTTTAAAGATATTAGAAACTATAATAGATTCTATACTATTATACTTAGGAAATTAAAAAAATATTTTAGAAGTCATTTTAAATTAAATAACAACAGAGGCTCACTCAAAATAGAATGATAAAATTGGTAAGTCCCGTGTTAAAATGGAAGTAAAAACAGGAGAGCTGAGATCGCAAGCCGTGTATATGAATAAACCTAATTGTCACCTCCTCAGACACATGCTTGCTGAATTCTGTCCAATTACTAGAGTCAGCAAAGAAAATGGCAGAACTCCACAAAATTCATAGAGAGATAACTTGATGAAGAGTATTATGGAAACAGATAAAAGGAAAGATGTTATTAAGCTGTAATCTTTACACTCGTACTTAGGTGTAGCTCAGTTGGAGAATCACCACAAATAGGTTCTAACTCTACTCTATTCAGAAAGTCGGGTCTTAAAGCTTCTTGGGGCAGAGCGTGAAGGCAGTGCTTCTCTGCAGATTCACACTGGCATCACCCCATTTTGATGCACAGATGAGCCTTTAACTTTTTTTTAATAACAGCTTTATTGGGGTAAAATTCATAGACCATATTATATACATATTATAAAGTATACAGTTCAGTGGTTTTTAGTATATTAAGTGTTGTGTTACCATCACTCTAATCAATTTTAGTACATATTTCTAACCTCCCAAATGTACCCATTAGCAGTCTCTCCCCTCCGTCCCCCGGTCCCTAGTAACAGCTAATCTATTTTCTACAATATTTCTATAGATTTGCCTACTCTGGATATTTTATATAAATGGAATTATACAATGTGTGGTGCCATGTGAATGCTTTCTTTCATGCAACACAATGCTTTTAAACTTCATCTTGTTGCAGACATTAGTACACTATTGATGTTTATTGTGAAATAATATTCCATTGCATGGGTATACTACAGTTTGTTTATCCATTTATTGTGTGATAGACAACTGGGATGCCTTTAATTTTTTTTGACAGGTTTAATGATATTTAAAGAAGGGAGATTTGAAGCAATTCAAAATGGTGTCTCTTCCTTGAATATAAATATACACATGCATTCTTCGGATGCCTTTAATTTTTGACTGCTAGGTAAAAATTTTGCTTTGACTGAGGCTCGATGCTCTTACAGTAATACTTGCTAGTCATTTTGACTAAACCTGTCTTATGGGGCACAGGTTCCTCTTGTTGAGAGATAAGATGTTAATATAACATTCAGCCAGAGCCATGTAAGAAAATCTGCAAGAATGTGCCTGAGAAAAATATGTAAGAGAAGTTGGTCAGGGCTATAATAGCTGCCTCTCAGGCAGTAATGCAGTGCTGAAGGATCACTCAGTGCTGTTTATAATGCAAAACCTGGAAACAGTTGACAGGAAACATATAAATAAATTGCTGCACAGTCACATGGTACTGTAGAATATAATACTATGGTGGAGTTGAAAAACATAGGTAACCCCAGTTTATATTTTGTATAACACTCTTTTTATAAAGTTTAAAGACAAAATTAAACAACATATTGTCTAAATACATATAAATGTGATAAAACTAAAAAAGAAAAGAGGGAATAATGAATCACCCATAATCAGCTCATGACTGTATTTACTACTTTAGGAGAGAGCCCAAGGGTTGGACTAGGAGAGGGGAATATAGGTACCTGGAACTTATTTTTTTTTTTTTTTGAGTTAGGAGTGAGGGCAGAGGAGTTAATTATAAATATATATAAATAGAAGAGAGAGCTATCCATGGATTGATGTTGAGAGGGTGTCATGAACCAAAGAATATAATAAATGAACTCAGGCTACCTAAGATTCAAACAAATAGTGACAGAACAATAAATGAAAGTAATGTGTGTACATTGTAAAAATTTGGATATACATATAACATGTAGTTAAAAGAAAGTTTTCCCTGATAATTCCTTTAGGTAGAAAAACTATAAATAACACTGTGTTGTTATAGTATCCCATTTTTTCCCCTATGAATCAAAAAAAATTAATTATACTAAAAAGTGTCAATTCATTAGTGTCTATTCCCTGTGGGAGCTGTTTAGGTCACTTCACCCACTCCAGGTTTCAGCCAACCTGATCTCAGTGTTACCATCAGCCAAGAGATACAAACACTGTGGACGCCCCCAGCCACTGCGTCAGAGCAGGGCTGACCAATGAGTCTTAACGACTCCGCCCCGCGGCTGTCAGATTCAGAGAACACACCGGGGGCGTGCCTAACAGGCGAGGTGGTCCTTAGCCCGGGCCCAGGTAGTAGGGGCAGGATCCGGGGGAGCCACGCGTCGCGGCGTGATGACGTTACCCCGCGCCTGGCGTGGCGTGTTGGGCGTGCGCAGTTGCTGTTCTGCGTGTTGGTCCCAGCTCTTGAGCCGAGGGAGTGTGGTGCGTGCTGGTGGACGACATGTTACAGGCTATTGGTGCTGTGGACGAGGAAGAGGAGCAGGCAGAGGAGGATTGTCCTGAATTGGTCCCCATTGAAAAGAAGCAAAGAGAGGAGGAGGAAAAGTCTGACCCCGGCGCTAAGATCCCAGTCACAATTATCACCGGGTATTTAGGTAACTGACCATCCCGGTCTGAGAATGCTGTAAACGCTAGTTCCTGGGACTTGGGGGGCCGACGGTGCCTTTCCTCCTGAGGTGGCCGGGCCTCCGGCTGGCAGCAAATGTCTGTGAGGTTTGGGCTGTGCCACTTACTTACCATATGGGTTCCTTCTCATCTCGGGGGTTAGTGATGCCCAGAACCTCGTCTGCGTGAGATTTCACATTTATCAAGTGAGATTGAAAATTGACCTCGCGTTTTGAAACTAGTTCTAGTTTTGCGGTCTGAAACCCGGGCCCGTCCCCACTATGCATGTGACTTTTAACAAATTACTTTCTGAAGCTTATCTGCCTCACCTGAAAATGTAAACAATACCGGTCACCTGTCTGAGTTTCTCATCGGCAAATGGGGCCGGAAATGTCTCCCTTATAAGTCTGTTACCATTAGAGGGTGTCGTGTCAGTAAAAGGCCCCAAACAGGGGCATTCCCAGTAAATTCCCCTTGCCCACAAGCGTTCTCTTCCAGCCATTCCTGGAAAGCCCACCTATCTCAAACTTTTGTTTTTTAGGTCTGTTTGTAAAGCACTGTAGGAGAAAGAGTAACAATAAAATCTCTGCCCTCCAAGACTGTATTTGTTTTTTTTAACTTTGTATTTTTCAATTACAGTTGACAATACAATATTATATTAGTTTCAGTTGTACATCCTCGTGATTAAACATTATATAACTTACTAAGTAGTCATCCTGGTAAATCTTGTGCCCACCTGACACCATACCTACTTTTTAGAATATTATTGACTATATTCCTTCTGCTGTATTTTACATCCCCATAACTATTCTGTAGCGATCAATTTGTACTTCTTAATCCCTTAACCTTTTTCACCTAGCCCACCAACCACCCTCTCATTTGGCAACTGTCAAAATGTTTTCTGTATCTGTGAGTCTGTTTATGTTGTTTGTTAATTTTGTTTTTTAGATTCAATTGTCAAAAGAGATGTATTTATTGCCATTTTATTGTTTATATATATTTTTGTCGTCTTAAAGATGACCGATTAACATTTCATATAACACTGATTTGGTTCTGATGAACTTCTTTAGCTTTTTATTGTCTGGAAAGCTCTTTATCTGTCCTTCAATTCTGAATGATAGCTTTGTTGGGTAGAGTAACCTTGGTTGTAGGTCCCTGTTTTCATCATGTTGAATACTTGCCAGTCCCTCTGGCCTGCAAAGTTTTTATTGAGAAATCAGCTGATAGTCTTATGGGAGCTCCCTTATAGGTAACTAAATCTTGCCGCTTTTAAGAATTCTCTTTGCCCTTAACCTTTTGCATTAAAAAAAAAAAAAAAAGTCCTCACCCAAGGATATGTTTTATTGATTTGAGAGAGAGAAAAACATCAATGTGAGAGAAACATCGATCGGTTGCCTCTTGTACACTCCCCCTGAGGATTGAACCTGCAAGCTAAGTATGTGCCCTGAGTGGGATCAAACCCTCAATCTTTTGGTATGGGAGGATGCTCCAACCAACTCAGCCACCTGGCCAGAGCTGTCCTTTTGAATTTTAATTATGATGTGTCTTGGTTTGGGCCTCTTTGGGTTCATCTTATTTGAGATTCTCTGTGCTTCCTGGACTTGTATGTCTCTTTCCCTAACCATGTTGGAGAAGTTTTCCGTCAGTTTTTTTTTTTTTTTTTAAACATAGGTTTTCAATTCCTTGGTGTCTTTCTTCTTTCTGTCATCCCTATGATTGGAACGTTGGTATGCTTGAAGCTGTCCTAGAGGATCCTTATACTACCCTTATTTTTTTCATATTCTTCCTTCTTTTTGGTGTTCTGATTGGGTGTTTTTTGCTTCCTTCTATTCCAAATTGCTGATTTGCATCTTGGCTTCATCTACTATACTGTTGATTCCCTGTAAATTACTCATTTCAGTTAGTGTATCCTTCATTTATGACTCGTTATTTTTTTATGGTTTCCATGCCTTTTTTTTTTTTTTTTTTTTTTTTGCTGTTGGAGTTCTAAGTTCATGGAGCATCCTTATAACTAGTGTCTTGAACTCTGCATGTAGTAGATTTCTTGTCTCCATTTTGTTTAGTTTTTTATCTGGAGTTTTGATCTGTTCTTTCCTTTGGGCCATGTTTCTTTGTCTGCTCATTTTGGCAGCCTCCATGTGTTTATTTCTATGTATTAGGTAGAGCTGCTATGTCTTCCAAGCTTGGTAGGGTGACCTGTTGTAGTAAGTGACCTGTAGGACTTAGAGGCACCCTGCCCCACATCACCCAAGCTGGGCACTCTAGATGCACCACCATTTGTGGGCTGTGCATATCCCCCTCTTGTATTTGAGCCTTGATTGCTCTTGGCACATTGATGGGAGAGATTTACCCCCAGACTGGTCAGCCACAAGGACTGGCTGTGACCACTTTGGAAGATAAGCTGTACAGGGGCCAACCCCATGGAGCAGGACTGACTTCAGTGGGACTCTGGTGCTCACTGAGTCTACCCCTTGAGTGTGTTGCTTGTGGAGGTGGTTGGGTGGTGCTCCTCTATGATAATCAGGTTATCCACGAGGTGTGCTGGCTCTGCGGCCTCCCAGAAGGTGCAGCACAAACTCAATTGCCTGTGTTCTGCCCAGGGCCACCCAGCAGGAGCTACAGAGCGATCTTTTTGTAGATGGTTGCTACTTCTGCTGGGCTTGGAGGTGCCCAGGAGAGGCCAAGCTGTGAATGAAAGCAGGCTGCCACGAGTGCTGGGCATGGGGCCACTCAGTGAGTGGTATGGAGCATGCTGCGGCTAGATGCTGCTAATTTGAGAGATTTTAGAAAAGTCTGAAGCATGAACCAAGACTGGCCATTTGTATGGAAAAGCCCCTGGAAGCAACTTGGATTGGCCTGTAAGTTGGGTGGGGCAGGGTCTCTGGGAGTCACTAGAGCTGAGCAAACAGTGCGAGCCAGGGTGGTGGAGACTCAGATATGGCACTTCCCTGCCAGGTCTGTGACTCTGTGTGGAGAGGGCTCAGAAGAGGAACATTGGCCTCTGCCAGCACTTCTCACTGGAAGAAAGCTGCCCTTCCAGCCTTCGCCTTGATGCTGGACAATTCGGTTCCTCCCCATGTCTCTGGTGCCTTTTGAGCTGCTTGCTGCCTTAGTGCTGGAGCTCAGAGCGAGTGAGTCTGAGTAAGTCCATGTACGGGCCCTTTAAGAAGAATGACTGGGACTGCAGAGCACACGTCTCCCTTGGTGGGGAAAAGTTAAATAAAAACAAAGTGAAAGGATTTGGGGAAGTAATACCATTCCTAGGTGCTGCTAGAGACAGGTACAAATTTGGTGCACCTGAGGACCTTTTACATAAAAATAAGAATTAAATACCTGGTATTTTCCCTTTTTCTTTTTGCTTTGTAAACTGTAAGTTTATTTCTATTTTTAGTCAGGACTAATCTTATAATGGAATTTATTTTTGGTATTTTTCCACTGTTATTCAGGGACTGTCCTGAGAAATTGAGCAAATTCCTTGTCCAAAATAGTATAGCTCAAACTTGCTCCTCTCGCCCTCCTCATTTTACTAATTGGTAGGTCAGTAGAACATTGGAGCTAATGGTCTGAAGCTCAGGAGTGAGGCTCATACAAGCAAGCTTGTTGCTGAATCTAGAGCATAGTCTCACTGCTTATTCTTGATCATCATTTTCTCTTTCTTGAAACATTATTCTTTCAGCTTCCATCACATTTTTCTTCTGATTTTTCCACCTGCTCCTCTGGTTTCTTTTAAATTCCCCCCCACCCACCCACCTGGGCCATTCTTTTAACTTTACAAACAGATAGTTTCTATTTTGATGTCGCACAGACATCTCAAACTCAGCATGTCCAGAAACTTCCTGTTATCCCCACAAATCCATCTGCTCCTGTGATCCAAACCACTTGAAATACTCTAAAAGCTTCCTAACTAGTCTTGAGCCGTTTAATGTATTGTGTATTTTGGCCTTAATGATCTTTTTTAATGTCAATCTGATTGTGTCACATGCTTCTGTAGTTTCCATTTGGGTTAAAGTTCAAATTCCTTAACATGAATTACAAGGTTCTATACCATCCAGCTCTTGACAACATCCCAGCCTGCAAAACTGGCCCATCAACATTGTACTACTTTTACTTTAAAAAGGTGCAAAGAATTTTAGCCCTTGTATACTTTTCTTACTCCTCTGGCTAGATGTCCTCTTACACACTTCATAATATCCTGGACATCTATTATATATATCATCCTGCAACATAATTAATTGCCTCTATTGACCTGCATGTTCCTCTATATCCCACTTAATACTGTTAGGCTGCATGAAGGTAGAGACAGTTTGTCTCTGTCTTGTGCACTTTTTACCCAAGCCCCCCATAAAATCTGGTCTGTAGTAGACTTTTGAATGAACTACATCTTAAAGTCTTTTAATTTATCATATAGTTAATTATTAAACTTTAGTAATTGTATTATAAGGTCTCTTGTGCCCTTCCCTTTTCATTTTCAAGCCCTGGCTGGTGTGGCTCTGGATTGAGTGCTGGCCTGCAAATCCTTTTCATTTTCACAGCCATTACCTGGTGCCATGCTCCTCTTCAGGGACTCTGTCTTACAGTGGGACTGGCTTTAAGAATTTCTTCATGGCCCTGCCTCCTTAAGGTCTGCTCCCTTTTATTCCATACTTCACACTCTAGTGATGATGGGCTTCCTACATAGAGCACTGTAATACAAGCTTCAACAACTTTTAAAGGAATATGGCCTAAAAATGTTGAAGATATTAATGCCCTAATGCTCAGTAAATCCCTCCTAGTTATACCCTTAAAATCTTGTAAATTCAGGTCAGAAGATGTGTGCAACTGTTTGTCCTAGCAAAACCCTGGAAATAACCCAAATGTTCAGCAACAAGGAAATAGATAAATAAATGGTATATATGTACAATTGGGATTGAGGATTTTTTTTTTCTCTCTATGAATTTTGTTGTCTGTGGATCACAGGACATGTTTTTCTTCTACTTCTGCTGAACATACTAGGTTTAATATGCCACCTACTGGATGAAGTTAGTGTAGCTTTATGAGTTTATTTTTCTAAAGAGTGAATATTCTGTCTTTTGTTATTTCCTACATCCATTCTTTGTGTGTGTGAGATATATATATGTATATGTATATAATCAATTCTATAGGTTGTTTGAAGCATACTAAAAATAGACATATAGGCAGTTTGAATTTATGTCTGATTAATGATGGATGTTGAAATAAAAGACCTTTTTATGTAAACTTTAGGGAATTAAAGTGTATATTCTTGGCTTAGAAACATTGTCATCATGCAAAAGTATTTAAATGTTTTATATTTTATAAACTGCATGAGTACTTTATTCCTTGGATGCCATTACTTCAATATTTTCTATTTAATAGAAAATTTAGATACCCTTATATTAATTGTATTGTAAGTTATGTAAAAGGCATAGTATTTTCGTCATGAGGTTGAAGAAAGCTGTGTAATCCAATTTGTAGGAGCTTGTAAATATTTATAAAATGTTATGTCAAAACTTTTTTTAACTTTTCAAAAGGTACTTTAATCTTCCTCTAGAATAATCTTAATTGAAAAATAACATGCAATTTTTTTAAAACATTGGGACTCTATATCTTTTTTTTTAATTAATTTGAGGGAAAGAAACATTGATTTGTTGTTCTACTGTATGGTTGATTCTTGTATGTGCCCTGATCAGGGATCGAAACCTCCAGCCTTGCTATATTGGGACAGTGCTTTAACCAACTAAGCTACTGGGCCAGGGCTCTTTTTTTGTGTCTTTAAAATCAGTCTTTAAATTTTGTTATTTAAAGAATGTATATTTTATAGGTGCTGGGAAGACGACACTCCTGAACTATATTTTGACGGAGCAACATAGTAAAAGAGTAGCAGTTATTTTAAATGAATTTGGAGAAGGTAAGTAAAGTTCAATAAATGCCATGCTGCAAGAATTTGTAGGATAATTTATTCCACTGGTATTGGACTTGATGTTTGATATTTCATAATGAAAATGCAAGGCATTATAATGTGAATACATTGGTATGGATTGTTTAGGAAGAATTAGATTAATTTTTGTCATGCTTTGGACAGGATTTGAATACTGAAATTAGATGGTTTCTATAATATTTTATTTGGTATAACTTGAATTCATGCCAATGGGATTAAATTATAGATTTTTATATTAAATAACTCCAGAAGTGATATGATATATGAAAAAAGGTGCTTTGTACTGACTATAGTTTAATTGCATCTTTTGAAAAATTTGAAAATGCTTCAGTTATTATAAGTTTACCTTGTTGAATGTTTATTGTCTGCAAAGCAATTAAAACTGAAGATTTATAAAATAAATTGAACATATGGTCTCTATCCTCAAGAAAATTGAATTATCTGTGAAAATACATGTATTAAATGTTCTAATTTTTGTCCTTAATATTGAATGCAGTTTTAAAAAGTTAATACAGCAGTGTTATACACAGTTCTTTGATGACTTTTATTGTTTTCTTAATAAGTGTGAATTTGAATAAAAGCTTAGTTTTAGCCCTAAAATTGTAACTTCTGTGGGATATTTCCTAAGGTACGCTATTTTTTTTTTCTGTTGTAAATTAGTAAAGGAGCTAGTTTTTATGAACAGGTTGGGAGGTCTACTAGTTAAACATGATTTCTGGTTTCAGTAAAATAAAGAGAAAAGGGCTGTTAGGCAAAATAAAAAGTAAGATTTTTAAATCACAGTCTTTTATTCTAGCTCCTTATTAACTGATCTTCTTTGGAACACTGATTGCATTTATTACTTCTTACTCTTTTTCTTTATTCTTTCTGGATCGTTTTTTACAATTTGTCTTTTATAGCACTCGCAGTTCTTTACTTCACATTGTATTGGTGTTCTCTACATCCTAAATTCTGTAGCAGCCGCTTTTAAAGCTCTTTGTCATTACCCAGCTGAAATATAAACAAAGAATATGTAAATGAAGAAAATAGTTTCTTTTGGCTATTTGTTTTACTGGTCACTCAGAACTCTTTCCTGGCTTCGGTCTATTTGTTTGTTGGAGGAAAAAAATAAGACATTTAAAATCATTCTTACAGGATAATGAGCATATCAGAATCTCGTATATTTTTTCTCAAGGAAGCGTTCCTGGGAAACTTAGGTGTATTTGACTAAAATTTAATTTTTAAGTGAACACATTGATACCTTGTCTAAGCAAACTTGCTCAAATGACTAGGGTTTTTACTCATATTGGGAGTACTGAGTAGGCTGCCTAATAGAAACAAAACCAATTTAGAGGCAGAATGAAAAGAACAATATAGATAAGGACCTTAAGAGTTAGAAGGGCATATGAAAACTAATATATAAAACATACTATCTAAAAAGTTGGCCACAAACAAAAAAAAGTGCCTTTGAAATAGCTACCTTATTAGGAAATGGGAGTAGGCAAGGAGGAGGCCTAAGAGGAAGTATGGTTTGATTCATTAAATTTGGATTTGCCTCTTTAGGTTCTTAAATCCTCTTTAAGAAATAAAATCTAAAATAAACTAGAGTAGTATAGTTTAACATATTGAGGCTACATATGGAAAAATAAAAGGTATAAAATGCATTTACTTCTTTGAAATCTACATGTTTTAGTGTTTTCACACACACACACACACACACCCCCACACAGGCACACATACATTGGTTTGCTAGTGAACATAATCTGAAGAGTGCTTATTTGTATTTCAGGAAGTGCGGTGGAAAAATCCTTAGCCGTCAGCCAAGGTGGAGAGCTCTACGAAGAATGGCTGGAACTTAGAAACGGTTGCCTCTGCTGTTCAGTAAAGTGAGAAATGTGTTTACTGTGTGATGGTTGGTTTACTATTATAAATGCTTACTGATTATATTTCCAACTTTGGTTTTCTTGTCTAATTTTACTGAATTTATAGTCTGCTTCATTGTATTTTCAAACAGAGTGTAGACTCATCAGGATGCATTTTCTTTAAGTGTTTCTTGCTATCTTATTTATCTTTCATTGTTCTCTAATAAATAGTTTGGTCCTTTTACTGAGTTTTTAAATTGTTTTTGATGTCAGGGTTTTTTTAATCTCTGTAATGCATGAAAATCTCATTTTATCTGTAAGAAATGGTTCTGAGTTTAATAAGTCATTGGTTTAGTTCCAAGATTTCAACTTCTAAAACCAAAAATAAATAACTATCAAAAAAGAGAAAATCTTCACATTATGTTCCACTAATTATAGCTCTTTCCAAGAATGGTCTGATTTATTCACTAACACAGCACAGATCTTAGAAAAGGACCTGACACATAGCAATCATTCAAATATTTCTTGAACGAATTAGGAAAATTTACATCTGTGCTGCAGATTTTGTATGTTCAAGTTATTTAAATTTCTTCTGCATCATTTACAATCTTAGATGTTTGACTTTGAGTCAAATGTATTTAACAAGGCATCTTGAACAACCAAAATGCAATCTATTTTTTTTTGGTACTTTTGATATTATAAGAAAAAAGAGAAATTAATAACTGGTACTCTAATTCAGAACAGAATTAAAAGGCGTTTAATAGTAGTGCCCTTTTAGCTGTTGCAGTAAACTATTGTAATTCATAAATTTTATCATTATTTTAGATGTTGATTTTTTCTTTCAAAAGATATAAAAATAATAGATTCTGACTTTATAGTCAGGTATATTAAAATTTCCTCTTTTAATTTTAATAAAATTAAAATATTAACATCATATATCTGATTTCTTTTTATCTATCAGTATATATGCATCTGTTTTTCCACTCATGGTTAAGTATTGGATGGACATTTTGTTAGAAGCTTGGGAATGAGTTAAATTTCCACATGCCTAAAGATATTTTTGTCTCAGGTTGTTGAATATATTTTTAAATGTTTGTAATGTTTGCTTTAAAATATTAAGGCAGTGACCTATATATTATGTTTTGGTATTCTCCAGGGATAATGGCCTTAGAGCTATTGAGAATTTGATGCAGAAGAAGGGGAAATTTGATTACATATTGTTAGAGACCACAGGGTTAGCAGATCCTGGTAAGAAACAACATTATTATTAATAACCAGAATATAGTTCTTAAACATTTTAAAATAAATGTGCTAGAGAAATATCTAAAAATGAGTATGGCCCTGGCCAGGTTGCTCAGTTGGTGGGAGCATCGTCCTGTTCTCCAAAAGGTCACAGGTTCGACTCCTGGTCAGGGCACATGTCTAGAATGCAAGTTCGATCACTGGTTGGGGTGTGTTTGGGAGGCATCTGGTCTGTGCTTCTCTCTCTGTTTTTTTCCTCTTTCCCTCCATGCTTTCCTCTCTCTCAAAAATCAGTAAGAAGCATCCTCACTTGAAGATTTTTAAAAAATGAGTATTAAAGCTTTACTCTAGATTTAAAAGTATGTCTTTGGTTAAAGAAAAAAATACTGGGTTGTTGTGTTTTTCAACAGATGAATCACGATCAGAGTACTTAGTACTCTTAACCTGATACTAGAATTTGAAGCTGTATTGATTGATTTAGGGTTTTTGGTAGAAACAAAAATTGTTTTAAAATATGGAAATTTAGGAAAAATTGAGACATTTTACTTTTAAGTTTATATTTGATTAGTTATACTCTACAGAGTTCTTATTTCCAATTACTTTTTATTCCAGTTTTCTTAGAGGGTCATTTAGAGATATTTAAAGGCTTTTGGATTCTAATTCTAGCAATACTTCTTTAAATTATTTTTAGCGTTTTGTTTTTCTACTACTAAGCCTCAAATATTTTTTTTTTTTTTGTAAATGCTGTTATAAGGTATAGAAGTAAATCAAGAGCCTTTTCCCTGGTGTAGAATGAATAATAATTATTCATGAAATTTTTATGTCTGAATGGAATTACATATAAACTTCCCTGTTTAAAGCTACACAAAGGTGACCTGTTTCTGACAATGGGTTTCTGATTCCTTCTAACCTAAATAACTTTTAGGTGACATTTTTATACCTAGTTTGCTGAACATTTAGTGTTTGTTCTGTGAGTCTGTCCCATATTAGTATATTACTGAAGGTTCATATGTAGTCAGTGGTTGTTATACTTAGAAGTATTATGCAATAACGTTGTCCTCATGTTTTCAAACTAGTATTGAATTGGGCTATTTTGGTCCTTATTGTAGGCATGGATTTTTCATACATTTCATATATTTTCAATAGGTTTGGCTGATGATACAGCATTGGTGTTAAATATTAAATTAACTTAAATCTGATAAGATGGGAAAATCTGTGTCTCTTTTTGAAATAGCAAATATCTTTTTTTTAAGATTTTATTTATTTATTTTTAGACAGAGGGGAAGGGAGGGAGAAAGAGCGGGAGAGAAACATCAATGTGTGGTTGCTTCTTGCACACCACACCCCCTACTTGGAACCTGGCCCACAACCCAGGCATGTGTCCTGACTGGGAATCGAACTGGCGACCCTTTGGTTCTCCGGCTGGCACTCAATCCACTGAGCCACACTAGCCAGGGCAGTGGGCAGGTGTTTTTGTTTTTGGGGGTTTTTTTCCCCATTGTAACACTAGAAAAACTCTTGTAACTTTTCTTTGAGAGTAGTTGATTTTAATAAAACATGGTTCAGCTTTTCAGAGGAAGAAAGAAAAGTTAAAGATATGAGATAAAGCTTTTGTACAAATTGTAGATATAAATGAGTTAATGCATTTTGCTTCTGACTTTTTTAGAATAATGATTTTTATTGTTTGGTTAAAAACTAAACATTCACTATTTTAACAAATTAAAGAATACCTAAGAAAATATGAAGAAGTTTAAAACAAAAATCACCCTACATCTCAGTACCTTGAAATACAAGTAGGTAATTTTCATTTTCAAGATTTCTCTGTGCCAGTGGTACTTACTGTAATATTATAAATATGATAGTAGTGGCCGTAGTTTGGAGCTTGTGAAAAGTGCAGATTCATTTCTTTTTTAATAATTAAAAAATCATTACCCGAGGATATTTTTATTGATTTTGAGAGAGAGAGAGAGAGAGAGAGAGAGAGAGAGAGAGAGAGAGAATATGAGAATGAAACATCAATGTGACAGAGAAACATCAGTTAGCTGCCTCCTGTCCATGCCCTGGCTGGAGATGGACCCCATAATCTAGGTTTGTGCCCTGACCAGAGATTGAATCTGTAACCTTGTGGTGTACAAGAGGATGCTCCAACCAACTGAGCCATCCAGGGCAGAAGTGCAGATTCTTGAGCCCCATCACAGATCTAGTGAATCAGAATCTCTAAGGGTGGGGCCGAGCAACCTGTTTTAATAAGCCCTATAGGTGATTCTCATAAATCAGCCATGTGTGCGCCACAAGAACACTTAAAACATGCAGTACCTATTTAGTTAGGGGCACTGACCTGTTTTCGCTTAGATTGCCATATTAAAAATTGACAATCAGCACAACAGTGGGCATACATTGTGAAATCAAAATTATACCTGTTTTGTTTTTTTGTCAGATTGTAAAAAAATACATCTTTTGGTGTGCTGCAGAATTTTAGTAATTAGTTTATATGTGCCATGAGATGGAAAAGGTTGGAAATTGCCATTATAATGCACAAATCTGAGAAGCTCTGATCTGTGCACTTCTGAAAACTATACACACACACACAAGCACGCACGCATGCATGCACACACACATACATGCACACAGAGATTTTATAAAATGGGATCTCATTCTTTGTGCTTTTCTGGATAATTATTAATTTAGTTTTACTTGAATTTATTGTAAAAAAAGAGAACTCAAAAGAAGTGAAGGAGTTGCTGGGTATCAGGTTAATGCTTCTTGATTGCAAGAGATATAAGAAAAAAAAAACAAACAAATTGGAGGAGTTGTTTTTTTAAACTACATGTTTCAACTTTAAAAGTATCATTTATTGACACCCTGGCATAAAAGATGACGGAAGTGACACACTTCCACTTTCTCCCACCTCCTGGTTTTGTTCGATTATATTCTGTGCTACATTGTCAAGGTTTCTAATATTTACATTCTGTTCTATTTTGTTTAGTTTTACATTTAAATGGCTTTAGTCCTCATTACCAGTATGTGGCTTCTCTGTTCCTTTCTTGATCCTTCCCTTGATTGCTGAATTTAGTGGCCAGATGATCTTTTTAAGCAATGTGTGCTGTGTTCCCTGAGTTCTTGCATACTTGATTGCTTGAGAATACTTGTTTTGTTTTTATGCCTGAAGGATTACTTAGTTGTGTTCAGAATTTTCAGATCACAATTTCTTTGCCTCAGAACTTAGTATTTGTAGTTCTGTGATCTCTTAGTATTTTTTGATTGGCTGGATTTCCTTGTTCAATATTTTCACTTTTTATTTCATGAGGAAGGATTCGTGAATGCTATATTTTTTGAGTTTCAGTGCTTGTTGTTTCTTTTAATATTTGAGGATGTGTGCCTATTGTTTTATTTTTTGAAAGACTATTTGGTTGTAGGTAATATTTTTAGGGAACATTTTTATTAGAACTTTGTGGCCATTTTATTATATTGGGGTAAAGGGTGTTGCTGTAGAAAAGTCTGATTTTTTTTCCCCCATCTCCTTGACACTGACTTGATGTTTCATCCAAAAATGCCTGAAATTTTTATTTTTATTTTTGAAGTTCAGTAACATAACCAAGGTACATCTTGATGTCATTCATAACCATTTTTTCCTGGATTATAATATGCCCTTTAATCTGTAGGTTTAGTTCTTCATTTAGAGACATTTTTCTATTTATTATCACGAACAGTTTTTCTGTCAAATTATTGGATCCTCTCTATGACACCAATTTTTCTTATATTGAATTTTCTTTTGTTCTCCATATCTGTTATCTTCTAATTGTTTTGTTTTGCGTTTTGCCTCTGCATTTACTGTAATTATTTCAAACCTTTCTTTTGTTCAACAATTCTGTTTCTACCAACATCTATTCTATTCCTTGATGTTTGAAATGAATCAGTTGGTTAAGTAATATATGTACACTCTATTTTACTTTAGCACTACACATTACATTTTGATATTATTCTGCTTCAATTTTTTTGTTGTTGTTGTTCTAAGCTGTAATACATGTGTATAGTTTTTTCAGCAGGTTTGTTCTTGATGTAAAAGACTCAGAGAACTATAATTAGATGTGGTATTGCCGAATTCTTTTTAATACTGTACCCATTTTACCTATACTTGTTTTTCTTCTGAGCTCCAGTGTGAAAACTGGGTATTGCTGGGAGCAGGGAAGGGAAGGCAAAGGGAAAAGAGGTGACTGAGAGTGTCTCATGGGCAACGTGACTTTAAGGCTCTGCTCTCCAAAAATATGAGTACAAATACCAAGTGCTCCCTGCTCCTGGGTTTGCTCTACTTATAAATGGGCATCCCGTATCTTGTGCAGGGACGTGCTTGAGCTTCAGATTTCTCGCTTCATTTTCCTGTGAGCCTGAGAAAGTGACCCCCTTCCCCACAAATGTGGTGGTGATAGGAAACTTTTACACTTGAAATTTATTTGTTGACTTTTTCCTTATTGCTTATTCCTTCCTCAGTTCTACTTCTTGTCATTTTGAAAGCTATTTCTGATAAGTGTTAAGACTTTGTAAACTATTGTATGTTTCCCTATAACCTCTTACTGGGTATGGGAGTAGAATTAAGAACTATCATAAGTCAGCCTTGGCTCAGTTGTTTGGGGCATCGTCCCGTACATTGAAAGGTCATGGTTTTGATTCCCGGTCAGCACACATGCCTGGGTTGGGGATTTGATCCCTGATTGGGGAGTCTGTGAGAGGTAACTGGTTGATGTTTATGGCAGGAGGTTCTGTGTTTGGTTGCTGCTGATAAAATTTGGCTTTTTAAATTGTATTTTATTTTTTGTTTTATTAGGTTTGCAAAGGGAGATTCTGTAACTCAGGATTCATTAACCTTTGCCCAAATAATAGGATGGATTGAATAATTCTTTCTTGTAGGGGACTGTCTTGTGCGTTGTAGGATATTTAATAGCATCTCTGGCTTCTACCCACTACATGCCAGTAGCAAGCAGTCCCCTAGTTGAGACAATTAAAAATATCTCCAGACATTGTCTAATATTCGCTTGGAGAGATAGATTACTCTGGGTTGAGAACCACTGATTAATTAACTTCATTTTCTCATCTCTGCTTCTTTTTCTTAACACCAGCATCGAAATTTGAAATAGTTCTATCTTCTGTAGCCTTGTATTATACCAAAGATACACATCAGATTTAGATTAAAAGCTCTAATACACTCTAACAGTTCAACTTAATACTAGGCAGTTGGTAACAGTAGAGGACTAAAAGCTATCGGAATAGGAATGAGTGAGTTTTTTAAAAAATGATTTATTTAAAATGATTTATGTACAATGTTAGGAATTTTACTGAGTGAAAAAAGTTAATACTTTTTAATGATTTGTCATTTGGTGTAATGATACAGTAGATTTACTTTTTTCTCCATCATTAATTAATATCATGTTGTTAGCCAAGTAAGTGAAGAAAATTCATATTGGCAATTCAGTTGTTTCCCTTTTAGGAGACTGACACTCTCCAGTTCTAAGCTAAATAATTGTCATGGTAAAGTAATTTCCATGAAAGGGACAGACATTGATTCAGCCCCTGTTACTCAGAAATCCTATTTCAGTCAAATTGGAAAACTATTAAGTTTTGGGGAAAAAATCAATAGGTATCAGGAAACCATTAGATCTTGTGGCCCTTGCTATATCTTGCATGAGTAATCACTGTAAACAGCTGACAGGCATTTCATTGTTGACACAGAGTGATGCTTGGGGGACCACGTCTTATCAGGATAGGTGGACAGTTTTAGACATTGGAATGAGTTCAGTTATCCTTGTTTTTCCCCAATACTCATTCTTTCAGACAGCCTTGTCACTAACTGGACCTGTGATGCTTTGAAAAATCAAATACTTTCTTTGCTGTCAGTTTTCTTTTTCTCGTGTTGTAGCATACTAATCATGGTGTATGGTTTGGTACTGGACCAGTTTCTGTCAAAAACAAATTTTAATTTCTTATTTAGAAATTATTTTTCCTCAGACTCAAATTTTGTACTAGTTTTAAGTAAATAGTATAAGGATTTTTTGTTCTTTTTCTTCTATAAAATTTACAAGTATGTATTTTTTATTTTTTGGACAGTTGATTTTGGAATTATCTATGTTTTATTTTGCTTTCCTTTAGAGAGATAATTTATTATTTTTAAACTATGTGATAACTATATTCAGGAGAGAGAAAATAAAAATAACTCCTGTGTGCACACAGCCATATTGCCCAAATTATTTGATAACGTCTGTGGGTAAATTATTGTGGCATTGGTAGAAGCTTGGTGTTGGGTTTATTATTTGATAAAAGTTGGTCTATTGTTATTTAAGATAAGGGGAGAGGGAAAGAAATGGGTATAAATAGTAAAAGTATCTATCACTGTAATTCCCATAAGAAGACTGGAAAACTATTTAGTTTGCATATGTGTTTGCCTGCTAATTCTGTTGGGGCAAATTAAAACATTATGGATAGAATTGTGTTTCTCAGTTTGAAGAAATATTTTTATTTGCTAAATATATATATATTTTCAGGTGCTGTAGCTTCTATGTTTTGGATTGATGCTGAATTAGGGAGTGATATTTATCTTGATGGTAAGTTAAAAAAGAGTTTTCCTTTTGTTTTTAAGTAAATTGTTATTGTTATGTATGGTTAGGATGATATTTGTTTATTCATATTATAATTTTAATTCCTTATATTGTTATCTTTTTAAACTTGTTTAGTTTGATGATGAAGTAAGTCTTTGCTCATACAGATTCTAAAGCATCTTGATAGAACTAGATGTCAAATCTTAATCTCAACTCCCAGTTTAGTGCTTCCACTAAGGTTTTCCTTTTAAAATACCAGGTGGATTTCCTATATCCTCTATTGTTTGATTAATGTTCTGTTGTATGTCATCCGTCTTCCTTCTATTGTATCTTATTCCTCCCTTTCCCCACAGCTCTTCTCTTTTTAAACCAAGTCTTTTATAGACTAAGGGGTGAAATAATTTAGGAATCATTGAAACTGGGCCTCGTTATTTGGCTGTAATATATTTGGCATGTAGTTAGTTGAATTCTTTAGGCATCATCAAACTCATTCTACTCTTATCCTTTGAAAAAATTATTTAGCATATAAATTTATAGATTGTCAAATTGATCATTTGGTGATTTCGGTACAAATTATGTATAACATTTGTGTGAGTTAGATTTGGTGAGAGATACAGGAATAAGATACTTTAAGACATCTCAGGTTTGTTAAATAATAATGTTAATTGTTAAGGAAAATCTTGGTTTTGATTATATGAAAATAAACTAGAAATAACCTGTCTTATGTAATTTATCTCATTTCACTTTATATTATGAAATTTAAATTTGCCTCATAATATTTTGGATTATAAGCTAAAAAGCTTAGTTACTTAATTTTTTAAAATTATTTATTTTGTAGCCTCTGTAGTCCCTTTAAATAGTGCTAGAGACTCAGTACATATTTGAAAATGCATCTGCCTATTAGTGGAATTTAATTAAATTACAGCCTTGCCAAGAGAAAGAAACCCAATATTTTATCAAGTAACATTTGTGAACTGAAATAGATTAGTGTTAATTTAATTTCTCAAGTATAAAGTTGATTTAAAGATTAATTTCTTTGTAGGTATCATAACTATCGTGGATTCAAAATATGGATTAAAAGTAAGTTGAAAGATTGCTATGAGTTGCTAATTATTAAGAGCTGGGTATATGGAGATTGATGATATTATTTTCTCCACATTTGTGTCTGTTTGAAATTTCCTTAACAAAAACTTTTTTTATAAAAGGTATCCTGAACACTAGATGAAATTTATGTGTTTTTAAATTATTATTTTGTGGTTTTGATTAAATATTTTTAATTATTCTGGCTTGAGGTGATAAAAGTTAGAAGTATGATATTTGTAATAAGGATTATACAGGATAAAGTATAGGTATGTGTAACTCCTCAGTAGGATTCAACCCCAGTGTTGATAAGTTTCTCTGATTGAGCGAGGAAACTGAGCTTCATAAAACATATGAGACCTTATTTTTCTATTAAGTTGCTATTAGACACAAACTGGAGATAATTGAGCTTTAAAAACATGCTGCTTTACCTTATTTTGAAGAAATCAGGATTTATACATAGATGAAGTGAGGCGCCACTTTTCATTAAAAGGCATCCTGCTCTCAATGTTTTTGGAACTAACAAGGTCCTCAGATGGATTTTAATGGGCTTCATTTTATAAAATGCACTTAGTAAGATTTTTAAAAGCATGTTATTACATAAAGTAAAATAGTGTTGTTCAACTTTCTAAGTGAAATATTACTAGAGGCAGAAGAGAATGAAATTAGATTCCATCTTGCAGTTCCAGTTGGGAGATGTGGATAGTGTTCAAAGTAATCATTTTTAGAAGTTTAAATTTAATGTTTAAATTAATTGTCCTGCCCAGGTGGCTAGTTGTTTAGAGTGTTCTCCTGATGCACCAAGGCCGCAGTTTGATCCCTGGTCAGGGCACATACAAGAATGAACCAATGACTACATAACTAAGAAGAACAATAAATATCTCTCTCTCTCTCTTTCTCCCCCATTATCCCTCCCTCTCCCCCTTCCCCTCCCTTCCTCTCTCCCTGTCCCTCTCTCACTAAAATCAATAAATAAAAATTTAAAAAATTATGTCCACTTTGTAGTCTATCCTGCAATATATCTAAATTTGTTAATTTGAAAAAAATTGTTTTTCTTCGAAGCCTTTATTAAAATAATGCTCTAGAAGCATCTTTCCCATACACCAAGGTTGTGAGTTCAGTCCTTGGCCAGGGCACATACAAGAATCAGGCAGTAACTACGTAACTAAATGGAACAACAAATAACCTTGTTTGTCTCTCCCCCACTCCTCCCTTTCCCCCTCCACTCTCCCTATCCCTCTCTCTCTTTCACTAAAAGCAATAAATAAAAATAAAAAAAATTATGTCCATTTTGTATTCTATCTTACAATATATCTAAATCTGTTAATTTGAAAAAAATTTGTTTTCCTCCCAAACCTTTATTAAAATGATGCTCTAGAAGTATCTTCCTCATACACCAAGGTTATGGGGTTCAATCCCTGGTCAGGGCACATACAAGAAGCAACCAATGAGTGCATAAATGAGTGGAACAATAAATCAATGTTTCTCACTCCCTCTTTCAAAGAATCAATTAAAAATTTATTTAAAAATGAAATAAAATGATGTTCTAGAAATCTGTGGCAGGCTTGTCAAATTGTTAACAATAACCTTTCACTGGCCCTTCAGTTTCCTCAGGGTTAGAGCACCCTAACTTGAGAAGTTGGGGAGATAATTCCTTTTTAGATTTTTAAATTCAAGTTTATTAGTAGCCTTAAGAATCAAAGAAAGATCTCATATATTACAATTTGACTCAGAAAAACTCCAAGTGTTATGATATAACATTTCTAGCAAAATGTTGATGAAGGAAGCAAAAAAGTCAGATTCTTCATTCTGAATAATTGTTATAAGGCATGTTTGAATTCATCTATATAAATTTATTACAAAATTTGGGGTACCTGTGGGATAGATAGCAGTTAGGATATTTTATTTGTTTTTTTGGTAAATTTAAAGTGCCATACCCAAAGTCAAACTCTTTATGTGTTTATGATTATAGGAATAATTTTATGTGTATATTTGGGTATGGAGAAGAGTTAAATAGAATCTATTATCAGTGTGATAGAGGCCAAAAAATCAAAGCAGCATTCTGAATAATGCAAACACAGTAAACACTTAACCCCCTGCCACCTTGATAAAACCTCTTAAATTATTAAATCAATATACCTACATTAAGCTGACATACTGTCAGGGTAATGGAAACTTTAGATTTTCTAAGTCAGATGCCAGATAAATAACTTTTCCTTTATATAAAGAATTTGCCAACTTGTCCAATTCCTCGGGTTGCAAAGCTTGACCTCAGTAGCTGCTTGTGATTCAGAGAATTCTGAGGCAGAACAAGTAATGACACTTGGATAATGGGCAGCAATTTAAGGGTGTCATGCTTCACAGAGCCAGCCCGTCATAAGTAAAGCTGAGAAATGGTACCCTGTGACCAGCCAGCCAAATTGAAACTGAAGTGGTAATTGATATCATGGGCTATCACTCTAATGGGATTGTCACCCATTGATCTGAAATATTCATTTTTTAATCATGGGCAAAGAATTGGACAACTTCCAATGACAGCTCTCTATTCTCAGGACTTGACACCCAGGCTACTGACATTGTTCTTTTCAGTTCTACAAATGTGACAGCATTTAATGCAATAGAATCGGTGAATGAAGTTACAGAGAAAAGGTCAAGTGAGGGGTTTCTCTTTGGTTCTTTTGTCATATTGCACAAGCTGTTGAAACAATTCAGTCAGAAAATAGTTTGGCTTGGAAAAGACCAGAAAAATAAATAGACTAACATTGTGCGATAATCTTTTTTTAAAGCTAAAATAGTGTTAGATTTATAACTGATCCATTGGAAAGAAATACCTGCTGATGCTTTTTTTTTTTTTAAATGTCATTTGACATCTTTGACACTAGATTTATTCCCATTTGGTTAACAACAGTGTTACCCCCCCTTTTTTTTTTTAATGAAGCTTGTTTCTATTTCTGCAGAAAAGGACACCCTATAGCCTTTACAGAAGTTGTATCTACAGTGATGTTATTGAGAAGGGTTCCTTTCATATGGTGTGTTAAGTTAAAGGGTTGAACCTTACTTTTTTGGGTATGTTGGATTAATTAGTGCCAAAATTGTTTTTGTCTTTTTGATATATAAGCAAAAGCCACTGTCTCTAAGCAAAGATGAGGACTCCTTTGGGGAGATACGTGTATGAAGGTTTTGCAAAAATTTTATCTTTTTTGCTTGTACAGGTTGAATAGATTGTCAAAATTTCCAATTTTTGACCTTATAAATGGAAGTCATTTGACTTAATAGTGTAAAATGTATTTTTAGAGAATATTTTCTTGAATAGCAGACATTGGTTTTGGTCTTTTTTATAGAATTTGTCTTGGGGAGGTAGGAAGTTGCATAAGGGAAATGTTGGGCTGATATCCAGAGAAAATAAATGTTAGTATGCTTTTATTACTTCTTTATGTTTATATAGCCTTTATATGTGCAGAGAACAGGGCATTTATCTCTTTGGCTATAATTTATGTGATTATTACATGTCTTACTCTTTTTTTTGTTTTTATCCTTACTTGAAGACATTTTTTTTTCATTGCTCTTAGAGAGGGAGGGAGGGAGGACAAGAGAGAATAGGGGGGTGTAGAAAGAGAAACAGACAGAGATGGAAACATTGATGTGAGACAGAAGCATCAGTGGGCTGCTTTCTCATACGTGCCTTGACTGGGGATCATATCCACAACCCAGGCATGGACCCTCACCGGGAGTTGAACCAATAAACCTTTGATCCACAGGAAGATGCTCCAACCGACTGAGCCACATTGGCCAGGGCACTTGTCATATTTTTTTTCCCCCAAAGATTTTATTTATTTATTTTTAGACAGAGGGGGAGGGGAGAGAGAAAGAGGGAGAGAAACATCAGTATGCAAGGAAAAAAACATAGATTGACTGCCTCTCGCACGCCCCCAACCTGGAACCTGGCCTGCAACCCAGGCATTGGCCCCAACCAGGAATCGAATGGGAAACTTTTCTGTCTGGAGGACAATGTCCAACCCACTGAACCACACCAGTCAGGGCACATGCCATATTCTTAATAGAGATATATGTGTTGGAAGGTTTATATTTTGGAGAGTTTTAATATGTTTTAAAATATGTGATACTTCTTGACTGCCTGGAGGTAGTAAAATATTATCCATCTATCCCATTTAACTTTTCGTGAAGATTTCTGATGTTCTGGAGAAGTATTAATAAATGCATTGAAAATATGGGTTACTTTGTGAAACTATTTTATTAGTTACATTTAGGTATGGAAATTCAAAACTTGCCATACCTTTTTTATACTGCACCAGCTCACAGGTAGTAGCCCTACATTTATTGGATTGGCAAAAAAGTCCATTTAGTTTTCTTCTGTAAAATAAAAGACACAGTTTTCATTTTTACCAATAACTTTATTGATTTGGATATTTTGAGTATGTCAGCTCTTCCTGCTATTGGCTTCAGCCAGGGATGCTGCTAAACATCTTCCAATGCATAAGACAGCCCCACAGCAAAGAGTTTGGCCAAAATGTCAATAGTGCCGAGAAACTTCACAAACCACTTTTGACATGTTTGATCAGTCACAGCACCTTCTCTATGCACTGCACAAATCTTTTTTTGCATTTCAGTTGCATTTTTACCTTTCTTGAAATAATAAAGTATAATACACCAAAAATGCTGCCTATTTTCTTCCATCTTCAGTATTAAAATGGCTGCATAAAAATTCACCAATTTTGATTTTTTTAAATATATGCTGGTATGACAGCTGTCACAATACAATGTAACAAAACTGTTTCAAATGAAGTTAAAGACAGCTAAGTACTACTAGGGTCATTGTAGGGAAAAAACTAAATGAACTTTTTGGCCAAACCAATATATGTAAATAAAGCTTCCAAATGGTCAATAATAATCACATTTTGAAAAATAGTTTTTAAAAGAACAGTATTACAGGATCCTTCAGGAACAGATGCCTTGCTAAAAACCTTTCCTAAATAGATTTCCTACTGAATAGAAAGGGATTTGTTGCTTCATATTACATAAAATTTTTCAAGTAACAGCATTCATGTTCTGTGTCAACAGATAGGGGGTGTTAATTAGAATTCACTGAACAAATGTTTGTTGAGCCTGGGTGTGAGATACTCCTTCCAGGGTGGTAACAGCCTTATTTTCAAGAGGACACAATATTAGGATTTGTTACAGCCCCAGCCCAAGAATAATTAGCAAAAATAGTAAATTTGGTCTTGTGCAAAGGAATGATACTTGCTCCAATATGCTCCAAGTTCTGTGATTGTCATAATTTGAGTGGGTTTGCTGTTAAATTTATAGGTTTGTACCTAAAGTGAAAATCAGTGCATCATGACTGTAGTTTTAGTTTAGTCTTATTTCCCCTGAAACAGAATTTGGCAAATAGAAGAAAAAAGTTTTTCTTTATATACTTAACCAATACTATTAAGTAAAATTATTACCAGTTTACTCTTAGGTTTTAAACTATCCAAATACCTTAATGCTCTACCTTCCCTTGAATTACAAAACTGGTTTGGTGAAGTAATTATTTTAGGATATGTGCTGCTAAAGTGAGCACAGTGAATAATTTTGAATGTAATTTTTAGATAATCTTTATGAGTATACTTTTAGGTAATTAACATTTTTGTAACACTGTTTTTAAGACAGATTTTATACAAAAAAAGCTTTCACAAAGATTTTTGTTCATTTTTCTTCTGTTGAACACATTTTCAATTTTTGAGAAATAGCCCTTTAATAGGGTGTCCTGTGATGGTTACGATGTTAGATATAGTCTCTTTTTTTTATAAGATGAGGAGACAAGCTTTTTCCCGTAATTGTTATGAAGGATAAATGAGATAATGTGTAAAAAGATTTAATAATTGTGAAATTTGATTCCTATATAAAGAATATTAATCTAATTGCTTCTGACTTTCAGTAAGCTTTTGAGAGTTAAGGTAATGAAGGTGAAACATTTTTCAGAGGAACCTGTATGGCGTTGGTAATGTCAAGGATATAAATAGGATTATGGAAAAATTACTGCCTCCAGAGAGATGAGAACTACCTGTGGGCCCCTAAGTCAATGTCAAAATATTTTTTGAAGCTAGCTTGTCTCTGGAGAGATCAGCAAAATAAACAGTTGCGTGAAGAGGCCAGATCACTCAAGTGTTTATAATTGATAAACTGCTTTCATGCTAGAATTAGGGTTGTGCCCTTCTTTGAGGATATTTGTTTCTAAGGTATATGAAGGGCCCAGAACTGAGTTAACATAATGTACCATTCTGGTGTGGGGAGTGGGGCTATTTTGTTACTAGCATTCTGTCAATAGGGTTCTTTACCTTGAATTTATGTATATCTATTTTACAGAGAATATATATATTCATAGTGTTGAAGATACTTGCTAAAGATGCTGATAAATCTTCTGAATTGTAATTTTTTTAAGGGAAGTATATTAGGCTATAACAAATCCTATTTGCTCTAGAGTGGGATAGGAACGAGGAAAGTATATTAGACTTTATGAAAGTACAATTTTAGTGGTTATCTTTTTAAAGAAGTAATAATGAATATTTAGAACAAGAATAATTTTGTAAAAAGGAAAATGCCTAAAATCTGAACTATGTTTTATGCCTTTATTTACATATGGAGGATTTTCTGTATGTAAATCAAAGCTTCATGCTGTATGCCTTAAACCTACACTATGATATCAATCATTTCTCAATAAAACGGGAAAGAAAGAAATATGGAGGATTTTATTTTTTAAGAAAAAGGTGATATCACGGGATACAATTTAATCACCCCCCCAATTAAAAAAAAAAAGCCCTACAGGTTTACTATAGGAAAAAAATTACAAACAGAAAAGTAATTTGTGTATTCAGTAACAGAGCTTGTTGAAGTCTTTATCAGAGAAAAGAAAGGAGTCTCTACTTTAAAACTTTTTGTTAACATTTGATTTTGTTACACCACAGTAACTTTTTTCTAACTTTGTTTTTTGTTTAGCATTTAACAGAAGAAAAACCTGATGGCCTTATCAATGAAGCTTCTAGGTATTCATATTTAAAGTGTATATTGATAATGACTATTGGAAAGAGAAAATTATTAATATGTAACCCAAAACAAACTGAGAAATACAGAAGCATAAGTCAAGGAATTTGTTATCTTCTTGTAGTTGAATTATTGCTACCTGTTTATAATGGTCTGGTAACCAAAATTCTGTTTAAAACTATTTTTTATTATAACATAAAGTTAGTGCTGGGCACAGGAGTTTTTTGTGATGAGCAGGGAAATGTTAAACATTTAAAAATACTTTCTTGTTCTCATACAATTTCTTTGGGATTGAAGATGATTATAAAAAAGTTGGCTCACTTACTTCCTTCTTTAACAGTCATTCATTTGATTCAAATGCTCACTTATTCAGAACGACAGAGGAAAAATATGAATCTAGTTTTAATTTGGCATTTTGAAGATTTTTTTGTTTAAATACCTTTCTGCTCCTGATTGGTTTGTCTTTAGACTTATAAATATTTAAGTTAGTTTGCCTACCCTAAGCATACTCTCCCTAATGGGAAAAAGGTTTTTGGATAAATGACAGTCACTAAATGTGCTGCTGGATTTAAGAGGGAGGTCCCTTGAGTTTTGCAATGTATGATCCAGACATAAATAATGAAGACTGCGAGCCAGCGATTGAGTCCCCATCATTTTGGAGTGCAGTACTCTGTTGTTTTGTAATCCTGCCCAAACACTGCATTCAGTATATATCTTTGATTGGAATGAGACTGAACTTAAATGTTTTTGTAACTTTTCTCCTTATTAAAATATGTTTATTATAGAAAATGTAAATAAGCCAAATAGCAAATGTTAAAATATTATAAAAGCCAAAGTAAAGTTAAACATAAAAGACCTCCAGTTTAAAGATTGCAATTGCTTATACAAGTATTTTGAGATGGGCATATTCAGTCTTTATTCATGTAATGGGATTGTGATATGCATACTATTGAAATCTGCTCTTTTAATAAATTAAAATTAATTTATTTTTGAGAATTTGGTGATGTTATTTATCAGCTATACCTTCAGGAAGCATAAAACTAATATTTGGGATAAACAGTTTAGTGATTAAAACTTCCTGAAGAATTGAGGGAAATTTAAAGACTCTTCAGCTTTACCAGTCCTGTTAATAGAATATAAAACTTCTATTTATAGAAAGCTGTATTCTTATTCAGCCTTCTGTCAACTGTATTCTTTAACTTGAACTTACGTATATTTGTTTTATAGAGAAAACATATTCATAATGATGAAGTATATATTATTAGAGATCCTGATAAATCTCCTGAAGTATAGTTTTAAAAAAACTTTTTGATATAGTTTTAATGATAAATAAATTTATTCACCTGTATTTCTTTGAACATTATGGTAACTATTACATGGAATATTTTACTATGTAGACTATCTTTGTTTTTTACCATATTGGATATCTGAATTTTATACATTTCTTTACAAAGAAAATCAGGAGTTGGTAATCATCATAATTGTAAATCATCCTTGATTGTAAAACTTTTGAGGCTTATCTTTGTAGTTCTAGAGTAGCAAGTGAAAGTTCTTAGTAAATATTTTTAATGAATAATGTGAAATATGAATTTGTATAGTGATGACTATAATTTATCCTTACTATTTGAAGAATAAGTAGTTTAGGAGTAAATTGAATTACTATTTGAGTATTATATAGTTTTTAACTGATAGTTGATCTGAAGGAGATGTTTTATTTATTTTTTAATTTCTTAACACTTCTTTTTTTGACATTTGTTCTTTGCTAATTTAGGCAAGTTGCTTTGGCAGATATCATCATCATCAATAAAATAGACTTGGTTTCAGAAGAGGATTTAAACAAATTAAGAACAACTATTAGGTAAAAGTTAAGTACTTACAAATTCAAAGTGTATCATACAAAATATTTTTACCATGTACAATTAGAGAATCACATATATTGTCGCCTAATTGACTGTTAGTTATGTAAATAGTACTATACGAAGTTATTCTCTATTGCTTACAGAATATAGTTCAAAGTCCATAGACTGATGTGCAAGGTCTTCTGACTTCATCCTCCTTTTCCTGTCTTCTCTTTGACTTTTTCCTTACATGAAGTTCTGTAATTGTTCCCAGGATGATTATTTACTTAACATTCTCCTGGATATATCCTGTGAAATTTTTTTATTACTCATATTTTGTTCTTTCTCCCTCTGCCAGTCCTTGAATTCCTTTTTCTTCTCTTTCTTTTTTTATTTTCCAGCAATTTTATCCATTCTTTAGATCCCTTTCCCTCCCCATCTTTTCTTCCTCCCTTCTCTGTGAAGTCTTCCCTAACTTTTGTGGTTTCACTCTTATCTGAACTGTCACTGACTTTTTCTTCCTTAACTGTCTACTAACCATACATGATTTCCAGCTTGTTTTATTAATGTCTGTAGTGTCCATGGCCAAGGCAAATCAATATAGGATAATATGAATGATACTCAAATATGTGTTAAATGATCTAACAGTAATTTTGGACTTTTCAAATGAGGCTAGAGTTCAGGGACTTTGAATTATTTTATAAGACCTAAACTAATAAATGCCACCTTTAAAGTGACATTGAATAGCTTTTATTATTAATTTTCTTTAGTGGGCATGGTCAGCTGACATCAGATTTTGAATCTGTCAGTGCCAGTTCATATAGTATATGTTATGAATTGAATTGTTGAAGCTAAGATTCATTAGGAGATTGCCTGCAATCACAATGGTTACAGAAGAAGAAAATCCATTTTTTCTCTATAGTTGGTCTTATTTTAATAGTAATATCCTCTCATGCTTTACTAAAAAAACTAGTAGTATCTCCATGTGGAAGGCAGGTAGTATTGCGTAGTATTTAAAGTCACAGACTTTGGAATCTGCTTGGGTTCTCATCCTTGGTCTGTTTCTCACTGTATTCTTTTTAAGTCTCATCTGTAAAATGGGAGTAACACCTACTTCATAAGTTTGGTTTGTATATTACGTGAGATAATGTTGGAAAACTTTGTGCAGTGCCCAGCACATAGTAAGTGAGCTGTTAGCTACTATCACTATTAGATTGTAATTTTTTTTCTTAGTTTATAAAGTAATCTCAAGTTACAGTGAATTAAAAAAATGAAAGAAATAAGAAGGTGGTTGACAATTTTGAAAAGTCTAAAAAGGTGAACCACTGAATGAAAATTACTTCTTTTACCCCTTTGACATTGGTTTCCTAAATTTTGTTTCACTTTTCCAAATCCTATGCATCCTTGTGATTGCTAGGAAAAAAGAACACAATCTGTGTGGCAAACATTTTTGGATCCACTGGGCTTTTCTATTTCCATAATGACAGCTGGATTTCCAGTATCAGCAAGATCAACTATTAAGCCAGCTTGTTGCCAGCCTGCACCATATAGATATACCAGAAAAGAATTTGGACAAAGCACACTGATAAATTACAGATCCTTTTTACTTTTTCCCTCCATTGTACATCAGACTTGCAGCTGAGTTAGGTGTGGGAAGTTGGAAGAAGGTAAACATATTTGAGAGGGAATAGTCATCATGTTACATTCAAAAGAGAAGATTAAGAATTCAGGGAAATAGTGGAGAGACTTGCCTTGGAATCATTGTATGCAGGAAGCCTAACCCATGAGAACAATCTTGCACAGATAGCAGATATCAGCAGCAAGTAACCTTAACAGCAATGGAATTGATGATATAAACATAATGAGAGCAGGTATACAATATGTTGAAAAGGATTTAACAATTATTTTTTGGTGCCATACAACAGGAGCCATATTTTATTATCTTTGTAGCAGAAGCGGGGTGGGGCTGGTATAATGGGTAGAGATCCTACTCACGGAATTGAAGAGGTTATTCTATAAAAGAACTTGAATGTGTGACACAGTGTTACTGTGAGTATTGATGGCAGACTGGGATCAAAGTCACTCATAGCTAGGTTTTTATTTCTAGCATATGTATAGTCATTTCTACAAAGTGTGCTTGGGGAATACTGGGTATCAGTGAACTTTTTTACTTATCTACTCATTTTAAAAACATTAGAGTTACTTGTTACTTATGAATCATATTTTCTAAAGTGAAGGGTCTTTTTATAAATCACCAAGTGTAGCCCCTAGTCTCTGAGTCGTGCAGTAGATTTTTGTATATCATGTTTTAATGCCTCAGTGGATTATACCTGACTTATGATTAAAAGGAAAAGAATAATTCAACTATGTAAGTTTTGTTTTCTATTTTTTGACTTTTCTAGTTCTAGATATATTTATATATGCTTACGTCATATTTTAGAAGTGTGCCCTGTGTGCTTTTTAAAAAATTTAATACTTTTTTACCTTCCTCATTTTTAAATTTATTTCAGATCAGTAAATGGACTGGGAAAAATTTTAGAAACACAAAGATCAAGGTACTTTTAAAAAACTACTACTGGTATTAACACTAAATAATTTTAGGTAATAATAAATATTAAGTAATTGATAAATATGCTTGATTGTAATATAAGATTGTAATATAAGATTGTAACATTTTTTAAAAATAAGGCCCAAAGATGCTGTTTTGAATGTTCTTTATAAATTAGTTTGGAATACTTATTTATTTGCTTCTCCTTGTAACTAAGACTGTAGAGCTATGATAACACTTTGTAACTGCTTTTACTTAATGAAGAAGAAAACAGAACTTTCCTCTAACTAGTATAGAAATCTGAAAAAAGTATATCACTAGGAATCTTATTTTGAGTTACCTAAATAGTTTTTTAATATTTAAAAAATAATCTTAGTGTTTAATGGTTGAAAAAATGAGCTGTCATGTAAAAAATACAAGGAATCTTTAAGTTTCTGTTACATTCTTTTTTAAAAATTTTGATTTCCATTTCCTGCAGGTTTTTCTTTCTTTTCATTGTATTTATACAGGTGTGCATTACTTTATAAAATTATGTGTTTCTAAAGCATCTTTAAAATTGATTTCTGTAAATTGAACTCTTTTCCATTAAAATGGATTTCAGGAAATTTCTGTACAGGGGTATTTCATTAAGCTAATTTTTTTTTTTTTTTTTTTTTTTTTTTTTTTTAAAGCAAGAATGGCTCAGCAGCTGAGAGACTGAGCTCAGGCAGCCAGCAGCTCTGAGACTCACAGCTTGCAGTATGCTGCCACCCAGTTTTTAATTCAGAGATTCTTTCCTTGAAAGTGCAGCAGAGGCCTTAGTTGAGTGACTCGTCTGCTATGGCAGAGATTAGAGGTGCTGACAGACTACCGTAAGTGTTAGGCAGTAACAGCAGCAGCTGCTTATGTGCATGTCAGCAGCGGGGGCATTAATTTGGTATGCATTCTGCGGAGCCGCTCATCTGCTGGCAGAGTGGTAAGAATGCCATGAGTGTAACTTCTGCACAGGCACACACCAAATGTGCTCCCTGCATTTCAAGTTCCACTGTGAAAAATCTCTGATAACCTAACTTACACTGTGAGCCATTCTTTGGTATCTGTCTTCTTCCTATTGCATTTTACTATTTCCTTTCTCCTTAATTTTTCTCTTTATGAAATGATAAATAACCATTTAATGCTTAAATGAGGTTTTAAAAATCATATCCATAAATAGCTGTGGTTCTGTCATAATAGCATTTGAAGAAAGTCCATGGTTAACTTTCACCCGGATACTTAGACTTTTTCCTCTTACTCTCCTTTGAGAATCTGGTGAGAATACAGTGAGAGACTTTGACATTTTATTATGCTTTATAGAATTTAACCTGTACAGATGTATTGTTGTTCCTGTCTGTTTTGGAAATATCAAAGGAATCTGGGTATAAGCAGAATTATATCCAAAGTTGTGACATGTATTCTCAAGGATGCTGTCATGGTCAAACTAGTTTATTTAGAAGCTTGTGTTTCAAAACTGACTTTTGGTTTTCAAATAATTGGCCTGAATTTTTATATTCTCACAGTTGGCATCTGTAAACTTTTTTAAACTTTAAGCTATTTCCTAAGATAAAGATAATAAAGTTGGGGGGGAAATTTCATTCATCACCTATCAGTATAAATATTTGCTTGGTTGTGATGGGGAAAAAGGGAATATGTTTAATGTTAAGGCTTTGGTCTCTTATGTAAGTTGATATTCAAAAATTTCTTCATGGAACATTTACTTATATGCTTGATCATTTTCCTAATTCTGCTCATGTAGAATGTCCAGAATTTGAAATATTGTTACAGCCTATTAACATAGAACTATGGAGTATTCTTCTTTTAAAAAGATGGGAATCTATCTGCCTTGTGCCAGGATAAGTATTCAAAATCTAAGAGCACATTGTTGACCCAAATATGATATATAGCAGACTGTTGAGAATGAACAAAGCAGCACAGCTGGTCAGTCAGTCCAAAGTTAAAGGAGATGGTTTAGCTTACATGTTTACACATTTTTACAAATCTTGAATTTGACAAAGTTTGGTTTTCCTTGTGAGAAAATTGAATAAATGAGAAGTTTCTGGAATCTAATTTTGAAATTTAATTATACTATTGTCATTGTCTTGAAACATTCTTTCATTGTAGCTTTGATTATAGAAAAATCAATGTCTTTTACTGTTTTATAGGCTTGTGAAAATTCAAACTCGATCACTAGTTTTTATAAATTTATGTATTTCAATCAGATCTAATGCTAATTTTGATACAATATTCTCTTCTGATTTGAATTTTTGCTTTCCTAATAAAGCTTAATTATTTACTACTGAATCATTCTAACAGAAATAATGTTTATTCAGATAGATCACTAACTAGAAAGTTTCAGTCTGTATGCAACACCATTCTGAAGAAAATGAAATCAAACCATTCTTTACATATAGATATGGGTCCTAGAGTGAATATTTCTAATATAGTGGTTGTTTGACTCCTCACATTCTTATAATGTTACCTGGTATATCACGGAAGGAGGAAGGTGGAGTAAAAGAAATACAAAAATTCCAAAGGATAGTGCACCTGCGTTACTATGTTATTTGCATTTGTTCCACTACCGTCGTTGCATATTTTGAGTAATAAACTGCTGCTCTGAAAAGTTTCCGTTTTTTAACTGATTTTATTTTATTTTATTTTTTTTGCTATAAAAATGCATTTGAAAAGCTCATGAGTCCCAGGCTGAGTAGCTCAGTTGGCTAGAGTGTTGTTCAAGGACACTCAGGTTGAGGGGGTTTAATCCCCAGTCAGGGCACATACAGGAATCAACCAATGAATGCATCAGTAAGTGGAACAACAAATATAATACCTCTCTTTCTCTTTCTCTCCTCCTTCTGCTCTCTATAAAAACATCAATAAATAAATCAAAGCTCATAATTTTCAGGATTGAAGAGACAATTGAGAGTAAAAAAACCCAACAAACTAAAAAATTTTAGCTTATTGAAGCAATAATCAGGTAGACTTGATCTCATACCATTTACTCAGATTTTTGAATTTTATATATAAAATCTATAAAATAGTATTTTTACAAGCTTTGTGTTCCTTGTCTGTTACTTTTATGTTTCCAAAATATTATGATATACTGATAAATCTTTATGTCTACATTTTTGGCAGAAGAATCTTTGAAATTTTTTTTTCCCTTGATTGAATATAATAAATAGGATTTCACACTGTTACTTTGGTTTTCTTTTAGAGTTGATCTCTCTAACGTCTTAGATCTTCACGCCTTTGACAGTCTCTCTGGAATAAGGTATGTTTCCTGTATTTTGGTCCTTTTTGTTGTAATGTACCTATTGTTACAAAGTTAAAAGAGTTAGAGGAATGATTTACAGAGTTGCACTCTTGGTTTAAGCTTCCTGTAATTCTTTTGACATAAAAGACCATTCCTAATGATTATGTTCTTGAAAGTTCTGTTAATTGGATGTTTGGAAATCACAGTACATTTTCCTATAGAAATTATAGTGTAAATGGTAGTTAACATTAGAGACTCATTGTTAATATTTCTACACCAAATATATATATAATATTTCCTATGATAAAATACATGAAATACATAAAAAAAATTTAGCTTGGGGTATTACCACAGAAACCTCCTTTTCCTCAGTGATGGGTCAATTTCCTGCCTCTTTCCCCAAAAGGAATCTTTTTGATAAGGAAGAAAAGAATGTAAATTTCTTTCCTGGATATCAGTATCTTTTTTTTTTTTTAAGTCATCTTAACAATTTTTAAGTGTACAGTTCAGTAAAGTATATTCATATTATTGTGGAATGGATCTACAGAACTCTTTTACCTTATAAAACTAAAACTCCACACCTATTAAATGAGAACTCTCATTCACTCCCCCACTGCCCCTGGTAACCATTATTACATTATTTGTTTCTGTGAATTTGACTACTTTGATACTCATAAATAGAATCAAACAGTATTTGTCTTACCGTGACTGGCGTATTTCACATAGTCCTCAGGGTTCATACATGTTTTAGCATATGACAGGATTTCCTTCTTTTTAAAAGGCTAAATAATATTCCCCTATAAGTGTATAATGTTGCTTATGAACATGGGTGTGCTAATATCTCTTCAAGATCCTGCTTTCAATTCTTTTTTTTTTTTTGTTTTGATATATACCCAAAAGTGAAATTGCTGTATCCTACGATATTTCTATTTTTAAGTTCTTCAGGGACCACCACGCTGTTTTCCGTAGCAGTTGCACCATTTTACATTCCCACCAACAGTGCACAAGGGTTTTAATTTTTCTACATCTTGCCCATACTTATTTTCTGTTGTTTTGGTAATAGCTGTCCTAATGGGTATGAGGTGACCACTCATTGTGGTTTTGATTTGCATTTCCTTAATGATTAGAGATGTTGAACATATTTTCATTGCTTGTTGGCCATTTGTATTATCATCTTTGGAAAAATGTCTATGTAAGTACTTTGCTCATTTTTAAATCAGGTTATTTAATTTTTTTCTTGTGGCTGAGTTATAGGAGTTTTTTAATAAATTCTAAGTATTAACCCCTTATCAGACATATGATTTGCAGTTGTTTTCTTCCATTTCCTCTGAAGTGGATGGGTCAGTAAAACCCCTCATGTGACAGTTTCCTCTGTGTACCCGTAGGAAAGGAGCGTGCTTTTATCTCTGAAGACAAATGGGTGCACAGAGGAATCTGAAAGAGCAGACCTTACTGAGTTTCCCACGATTTACTACACTTGGCTCATAGTCTATCCTGTCATATCTTGCCATGACTTTGCACTCTTCATCAAACCTAACATAAAACCACTAGGGCTTAAGCATTTATTTGGGTCTTCATTTCCTTATGAAAACTCCTGTGTCATGTAAAACTTAAGTACTTGTATGCTTTCCTCCTATTACTCTGTCAGTCTAATTTTCAGACCCAGCTGGGGACCTGTAGAGGGTAGAATAAAACATTTTCCGGCCCTACAGAATTTTTAGGCATTCATTGTCCAACAACATTAAATACTGAGTGTAGGGAAAGAGCACTACTTAAGAACAGTATGACTTACTTAAGAACAGTTATAATGCATTAGTGACGCTTAAAGAAGTAGCTGTTTAATGTGATGCCCCTGCTGCGGGTAAGGCGTTTGCGTAACCTTCTATTGTGCTTAGTTGTTAAATGGGAGAATCCATTCCTGAGCAACCAGCTGGGAAGATTTAATCGGACACTTTCCCTACTGAGACCCCCTTCCCCCACCCCGCCAGAGACTCATTCACTCCAGTAGCCCCTATAAACCTTTTCTTTTTCCTAAACTTACTGTTACTAATTTTCCCCTCACTGTTCTTCAGGGCAACACATCTGCAAGGTTTTAAGTCCTTCCCTCCTCCCAGCCCTACCCCCATCAGTGTCTAAATGCTTGCTACAGTTGTTATGGTTATAATTTGTTATGCCATATTGATCTTCTCACTCTTTTCATATCAGAGCAATGCATTTTTAAGATTCTGACTTTTTGTTTATACCAGTAACTGAATATATAGAAGATCTATATTTGTGGATAATGTTTATTTTTTTATTAAGTAGTCATGTTCAAGGGAAAACATTTATAAAGGAAATTTTATTCTTCTGACTTTCTTTAGGTACCAGCATTTTCCCATTAGGAAGCGTGGGGAGAGTTGGTGAAATTTTGAGCAATAGTAAAAATGCTTATTTATACTTTTCTAGGACCTCTAGATCCTCGTATTAGGATCTCTTAGAAATGAAATCCCACATATTTAACCACACAAAATAGTGTTGTTAAAGATTAGTTTTTCTTTATATTGTGTTTATGTATGTCAATGTGTGTACATTTTTAAGAAAAGTTTTAAAACAATCTGCCAGCTTTTCTCTATTAGAATATGTGAGCAACACATAATAGATTCAACTCTGGATTTTCTCGTCCTTATGTAGCTTTGTATCTAAGAAATGTACAAGATTAAATAAAAAATGTATCTATCTCTGAATTTATAATCAGTTGTTTTAGTTTGCAGAAAAAACTTCAACATTTGCCGACAATACAACCTCATCTTGATCAGGTAAAAAAAAACCTTAACATTTTTAAAGTATCTCTAACTAACATGGTTATGCTCAGGACTGTTACATTAGAACTCTTTCTAAAAATGTATTTTTGAACTGTGTTGATAGTTTTCAGAATTTAAATGTTTTTGAGGTCGTCTAATCTTACTTCTTAAAGAATTATAGGAATTAATTAAACTGGAATTGCTTAGAATACAGGGTCCAGCAGAAGTAACACCATTGAGTGTGGTTGGTAGGGCATGTGAATGTCTTGCACAAGATGGACAGCAATTTGAACATTTCACCTAAAATGTCATGTGGTGTGCTTGCATGTGATATTGTTATGTTGCAGGATTACATGCTTATGATTTTGTAATGAAAGATTTTTATGTTCTAAAAAAAAGGGGCATTATTTGTGCCAGACCCTGTATTTAGAAAAATATGCTTTCTAACTTCTCCATTCTCTGGGTCATTCAACATATTTGATCAGTTCTTCTGAAGGGAATCCCTGCGTAGAAGCAGAGTGGGAGTTCTATGTGCAGCCTATTTTTAACAATTTTAAATTGATTAAGGAAAAATTTGGTATGTGCATCTGTAACTTATTTGAATAAAAATTGACTTTACAGTTTCACATAGCACTGTAAATTTAAACTTCTTAAGGTGTTTTTCATGCTCTAAAACTCTAATTCCTGAGGTAAATATTGCAGATGCTAGAAACAAACAAAATAAGTTTTCACTGTATCCGTCTTTCTTTTAAGCAAGTCATAGATAGTAGAGCTTGAGGGTAACTTCCTTGTTCCATTTAAGTACAGTGAAAGGAAGGGAGCATGGGTGTGGCCCTGGATGTAGTTGTAGTCTTCCATCCCCTGTCTTGAAACTGTCACTCAGTTTTTAAGTCCTTGTTAACTGTAATAGGGCCAAGGTAATAGCAGCCACTTGTTCATTTGTCTTCAGTTTGGCTCATACGTATGGGGAGCTATACTACCATGTTTGTGGCACTTTTTTCTGAGAAACTTAATAGAATACTTATCTTCACTTATTTTTAAAATGAGTGAATGGGAGAAATATAAATCCTTAGTGGCAGAATTTTTGGGAAAAACCACTCTTGACAGTCTCAATATTAGTTATAAAGTGAACTTTAATTACATCCTTAATGACTCTAGGTGAAGGACATCACAGTAGGAGTCATAAGGATTAAAAGATGAAGAATGTGTAGTATTCATTTTCAAGAACCTTTATAATGGCCTGTATCTGCACCCATTGTATCTTGAATATGCCCTTCTTGTGGCACTTATAACGCCTTGTAGTTTGGGTTGAAATGCTTTTTCTCTTACAAGTAGTCTCTAAATTTCTTAACTATAAATTCCTCATTGCTGTGAGTATATGTTAAAAGAATGCAAAGGTGTGATGGGGGTGTACAGCAGAATCAATTGTGGAGCTTTTAAAAATAACCTGGATGCTCAGTTGTTAACCACCCCTCACATCTGCAGCGATGGACCGTGCTTATGTACATACTAATGTGTGTGTATACTTTTAACATTTTATTTTGGAAAATTTCAAAGATATACAAAAGTAGAAAGAGTACTAAAATGAACCCTTCGTACATATTACCCAGTCGCAATGGCCATCGATATTTTGCTGATTTTACTTCATCTATCTTCCCAGCATTTCTTTTGCTGCGACATTATTTAAACTTTTTTCTTTAAATAGAAATTTTCAAGCACACATAAAACTAAACTAGTGTGATGAACCTGCATGTACCCATCACCTTTGCTGGAGTGTATTAAAGAAAGTTCCAGACAGTGTGTCATTTCATCAGTAACTAGGGCACGCACGTCTGCTTTCTAAAAGCTCCCCAGAAGATTCTGATGCACTTTCCTGCTTTAGAAATATGAACATAGAACAGAATATAATATTATTGCAGATAAAGGGCTATGGGATTGAGCTGTTCGAAGAGTCTCATTTGGTTAAGTATTTCATAAAAGACTATATATCTGTATAGAAAAAAAGTATACAAGTATCTTCACATATATTGGTATCTATTTATCTGTCCATATGTGTACATGAACGTGTAATCCTACAATCCCACTCCGATGAAGATACAGAAGATTTCCAATACCCTTAGGAAAGTTACTTTGTACCTCTTTCCAGTCAGCAGCCCTGCTTCTTCCAGAGAGCCAACTGCTGTTCTGACTTTATTCCAAAACGTGGCCTCAGGATGGTAGATTTATTTTTGACTAGAAGGGTACTGGAAAGAGCGGTCCAGATGTTTAAAAGTGGGAAGGTGAGAATGCTATGGAAGAGCAGAAAACCAGCGCAGAAGCCTTAGTGAAAGTTGGGTATTGGGATCCTGCTTTGGCTTTGATTTGCTAGGTAAAGAGAACTCCTGCTGTTATGTCAGATGGTGTTGGGTAAACTGGATTGGACTGTGGAGTCAGGACACCAAGCAGGAAGATCTTGCAGAAGTTCGTGTGCCCTGTGACGAGGGCCTGACTATGTTGGTTACAGTGAGAATGGAAATGGGAGTATTCGAGCACTGTTTTAAGGCAGACGTGTCTGAATAACCTTACTAACTGATTGTAGAGCAGTAAGAAGAGAGAAGTGATGGGAAGCCTAGATTATCTAAAGGAACCTAGAAATAAGAGATATCTGGAAGGCAAACTGATTTGGATGAAACCGAATATTCGGCTTTGAACCTGGCGGCAGGATATCATAGTATATACTACACAAGCAAAGAGGAGCAGAGGACTGGAGTGTTGAGATGCAGGTTTTGAGTTTAAGCATGTTAGTGGGCTTAGTTTTCTAGATGAAGAAAACATAGATGTTATTGATACTAGGTATCATTTGTGAAAAAGAGTGGGAAACTGAGGGAAATAATGTGGCAGGTTAAAGAAAAAACAAACTGAACAAACTTCTAAAATTTAGGGGTTATTTCTAAGTTTTATTTTAAGGACAGTACTTTATATTGATTTAGTTTTCTGAATTATTGACTCAGTTTTCTGATTCTGTGTTTGGAAAAGAATTATTTTTAGATTCAAAAGAATAATAAACTGGGGGGGAAAGTCTGAAATGGGTAATACATACGACATACTGTGTGTTATTAAGGTTTTTTCCCTGAATGATGTTTAATGCAGTTTTCTTTATTTCATGGATTTCTTGTTTACTCCCTATAAAGAGGTTCTGGGGTTGGAGGAGGGAAGATAGGTGAGAAAACCCAAGTGACAGCCTGTGCTCACTTAATCAGAGGAGCCAGTTACGAATTATGAGCATGACCCTCATCTTTTGACCGGGGAGTTTTATGGATTTCTTCTTCTTTTGGGATTGTCTAATATGAGTAGAGTTCATTGATACAAAAAAAAAAATCTCATTTTAGAGGGTGTATTTCCTTCCTTGAGCCCTGTGATGCATTGTCTTAATTTTTAAAAGCTTTTTAATATCATGCTGTAGTTAATTGAATTCCTCAGAAATATTGTCATGTCTGTAACCTGCAAAAAGCAAAACTCATCCTGTGATGTAAAATTGTTTTAAGTCAAGAATAAAGCAATATTTAGTGCTATATTAAGACATTTCCAATATTAAAAGCAAAGTTATACAACTTGAATAAAGTATATGTTTAGCATTTTTGAAGATTAAATTATTACTATCTTTTAAAACAGACTTACGTTTCACTTGGCACTCTTTTGCTGTGTATTTTAATATGATTTTTTATTAAAAAATTCCATTAATATGGACTTTTAGGCATTGTTTGTAGTGATTGCTTTGAGGAGGAAAGAAGACTCTTTTTATTTAAATACATACTACTACCATAAACTTATAAAAACAAGTAGTTTAAAAGCAGTGTTTAAGATTTAAAATAAACACTTTTAAAAGTTGTGGTAAAAAATACATAACATGAGATTTACCCTCTTAAGAAATTTTTAAGCGTATAGTGCAGTATGGTTAACTGCATACACATTATATTGTATGGAAGATCTCTAGAATGTCCTCAGCTTGCGTAACTGAAACTCTACACTCACTGAATAGCACCTCTCCATTCCCTTCACCCTGCCCCTGGCAATCACTGCTCTACTTCCTGCCTCTACAAGTTTGACTGTATAGATAACCTCATATAAGCGGAATCCTGTAGTATTTATCCTTCTGTGACTGGCTTATTTCACTCAGCATAATGTCTTTTAAGGTTCATCCATGTTGTAGCATGTGTCAGAATTTCTTTTAATGGATGAATAATATTCTAGTCCACATTTTTATACTACATTATTATACTACATTTTCATTTACCCATTAATTTTACATTGTTTCTACCACTTACCTATCACAGCAAAATAAATACTTTTAGAAATACAGCATTTTCGAGTCTAATTTTAGTTGGCTTTTAGGTCCCATACTGAACAAGAAAATGCTTTCTGGTTTTCCTATTAGTAGCAACAGTGTAGACTAAACGCCAATATATTTTCTGCTTATGTTGCTCTTTAACATTTATTTACCTTTAGCTCTTGGGTTGGCCAAAAAGCCCGTTTAGCTTTTTACATAAAATTAAAGACACGTTTTTCATTTTCACCAATAACTTAATTGATTTGGATATTTTGAGTATGTCGGCTGTCTCCCACTATTGGCTTCTAGTGGGTAGAGGCCAGGGGTGCTGCTAAATGTCTTCCAATGCACAAGACAGCTCCACAGCAAAGAATTCTTTGGCCAAAATGTGAATAGTGCCAAGGAAGTTTGCAAACCACTTTTGACGTGTTCGATCAGTCACTGTACCTTCTCCATATGCTGCACAAATCTTTTTTTGCATTTCAGTTGCATTTTTACCTTTCTTGAAATAATAAAGCATAATAGACAAAAATATCTTCTTCCATCTTCACTATTAAAGTGGCTGCATAAAAATTCACCAATTTTGATAAGTTTTTTTTAGTGCAAACTGATATGACAGCTGTCATAATACAATCTAACAAATTGTTTTGAATGAGGTTAAAGACAAATAAGTGCTGTTAGAACCATCTTACAGAAAAAAACAAATGAACTTTTTGGCCAACCTAATATATTTAGATAAAAAACAGTTTTGATGTTTTCATATTTTCTACTAAAAGCCTCTGATTTTTCTACTGGTGAGTAGATATGCAGCTCTAGGAAATGATGGAAAGCTGTGCCTTAGTATATACTTTTTCTGCCTGTTTTAAAGCTTGGCTTGAACATTTTATTCTCATTATCTAAGATGAGGTTTGTGCTTTTATCAGGTTATGTTTTTAGCCTTGGATTTTCATCAAGTTTGAAATTTTGGCTTATGGCAGAAATTGGACATTTGGATTTTAAGTATGTGACTAGCTAGAGGAAATCTTAAGCGTCTGATTCCTTAGAGTAGACAGTGAGAGCTTTATCAAGGTCAGGAGGAAAAATAAATCTCAAAGTTAACATGCTATAAATGATGATGTCACGTCTAAAACCAAAGATGACATACTATCCATTCTCATCTCTAGGTAGTCTTTACAACCATTGGCACATGTTTGGTCAGAGATAAAACAAACCTTTCCTTTATATTTTTCCAAAGAACAGAATTAAACTTTTGCTTTGGAGGTCTACTCCTGGCTCTGGGTAGTTTTTGTTTTGTTTTGTTTTGGTTTTTTTTTTGAGCCTCCTTTCCCCCAATTTATAAAATGGAAATAATTCTCTATTCCACAGGATGGTTGTCACAAGTAAATGAAAGATAAATGAAGTGATCCCAGGCAAAGGTACCTGGCTCAGTACTTATAATTAATAAGTTATGTATACATATTAATATTACCTTCCCTTTTAGCACTGAGAATCCTGGAGAGAATGAATTAAATAATGCGTTCCCTTGTATAACAGTTTCTCTGTGTAAATCAGCTGTTCAGAATATAGAAAATGGAGTTGCTGATACCAAAAATCAGCAAATAATGGTGAAAAAATTATACGTGATAGGTATTATTAGGTAACATAAATTTCTATGAATGTGTTCCTTACTTTTTATCTTAAAACTTGTGATTTTTTTTTTACTATAAGAAAATCATTATTGATTCTCTCTCTTGATTTACAGAGTATTATTACAGTCACATTTGAAGTACAAGGAAATGCAAAGGAAGAAAATCTAAATGTATTTATTCAGGTGAATGCAATAATTAACTGGTTAATGATTTATCAGCTGTGTTGTTCTATAGTTGCTATTTGCCATGGTTGGTATGTCACTTGATATTAACATATGTCACTTGATACAGAATCTTCTATGGGAAAAGAATGTGAGGAACAAGGATGGTGACTGCATGGAGGTCATACGACTAAAGGTACAGTATACAGTTTACAGGCTTATACTTTTGGATGAGTCCCTTTCTTGGCTGTTATATAAAATCATATTTGGTTTTAAACATAAGCACTGGTTTTAGTACAAATAACGTTTGTCTATTTTCATTTTTCCTTTTTTCCACTGCTGAAAAGAAGCCTAGGAATCGTAAAGCATGATTTATTTGCACAGCTTCATTTAGTGTTGCAGCTAAAACAGCCTGTGTGTTTTGAAATGTTACCCTGTGCTCTCTACTCCCAGGAGTTCTGACCAGTTATCTGGCTCGTGAGCTTGACGTGTTGAAACTCTCCTCCTTTTGGCACTCAGCTTAGTCAGTAAGAGAAAACTGGACATTTTCCTGTGCTTATTTTTTCCAAGAGAGCTTTTTTAACAGAGCAATAATATAAGAAATCTTGGTGCAGCTGAACCTTTTGCTTCTTGATGCTTCTGGCAGACAGTAAACGTTTGTCATACTATAAGCAGTATTATAAAAGACTGAAAGAACACTTGACATTTGGGTATTTATGTCAGAAAAGGTGGTTTGTTTGTTTTTTTAAATCCTCATCCAAGGATCTGTTTCTTGATTTTAGAGAGAGGAAGGGAAAAAGAAAGACAGAGGACCATTGATGTGAGAGAGAAGCATCAATTGGTTGCCTTCCATATGCACCCCGACTAGGGATTGTACCTGCAACCTAGTTATGTGCCCTGACTGGGAATCAAATCTGCAACCTTTTGGTGTATGGGATGATGCTCTAACCAATTGAGCCACCTGGGCAGGGCACAAAAAGTATCTCTTACATAATGCAATGGTTCTAGGTTGTGTGCTTAATCTATCAGCCATTATTTGAGTGTCTATTCTTGTGTTTCCAGAAGTCTGTAAACTTTTTATGATTGTTGTTTATTATTATTACTGTTAGTAACTAGATTCACTGGTTAGGGAATGACTTCTCGTGATCACTAGAATGACAAAGGTTAGACTGTGGAGAAACTACTTAGGTTGAGATTTCTTCACTTCTTGTGCTGGCTCTCCCTGGGGTAGCTGCTGCAGAGCAACACAGGTGAATCCCATATCCTTCCCACCCCATCTGGCTGCTGCTTTGTGATTGTAGCACCATCTACCTTCCGTGATTCTAACTGGCAGATCATACTTCATTCTGTAACTGCTTTTGTCTCCTAGTACTGAAGAGAGGTGGTACCTAGAAAAGGAACCATTGTGGCATTTTACTAATGCTGCCACCAAGACCTCTACCTGGAGTTCAGTGGCCCATTCTGCACTATCCCAGTTTGGAGTTTGTCCTTATGTGTATGCCAGTTTCTTGGCAGTTGTCCTCTTTGGTTCCTCCTTTGGCCTTTCTCTCATTACAACACTGGGAGCTCTAGAGCAAGATAGTCTTTATCTTCATAGACTTCCTTCTCTTTCCTGTTAACAAATAGTAGTCCAGTGTAATCAGCATGTTGAACATGTTAACTCTAGTAGCAGCTAATGTTTCAAACTCTTGATACAAAATGAATGCTTAGGTAATTCTAATTTATTATTATAATACATATTCAAATTCAAAAAACAAAAGACAATCATTACATGTTATGCACCTTAAATCAATACAATGTGATATGTCAATTATATCTCAGTAAAACTGGGGCAAAGAACCAGAAAGCAGCTGGGCACAGGCAAAGAAAAACTGGGAGAACATGCACACAAAATGCATAAATACACCAAAAATACACAAAAGTTGTGTGGTTGGAATGACTATCAGTGATTTGTTTTTTAGTGTCTTTCAATTTATGTTAATTTTATACAAATATGTATAACAGAGTTCAGAGAAATGATTTTATCTCCATAGGAGCCAGTTAGATGATTTGTTCCTCATTTCTGCAAATAAATATAACATGAACTTTTATTCAGATAAATGTAATAGCTTTTCTGTATTTCATTAGTATCTACTGCATTTGTTGCAACTCATACAAAAACGAATCATTTGTCATCACAGTCTTGTAACTTCTCAATTTGCCCATAAAAACTGGGAGACAAGTATAAAATTCTTAAAAGTAGAATAATCAGTAGAATCTGAATACATTATGTTTTATCACTCTTGTTTTTTTGCTGTTGTTGTGATAACACTGAAAGAACATCCTAATACATATATGAATTTTGTCATTAGAAAAAAATCAAAGGGACTTCCAGCCAAGATGGAGGTGTAGGTAAACATGCTTCATTTTTGCAGACAGCTGCAGCAAAAATTACATCTAGTCTCCAAATCAAATATCACCCAGATTTGTCGGAAAATTGAGCTGTGTGGAAGTCCAACAACCAAGGATTTAAAGAAGCCACATTCACCTAGATAGGTAGTAGGGGAGGAGAGGCGAGGAGAGGTAGTAGAATGGGTGATCCCTCATTCACGTGTGGTGGATAAAAATGGGAAGGGATACCTTGGGAGTGAGCATTTCCAACCCCAGACCAGACCACCCAGCCCAGGATTCCAGCACAAGGAAGATAAGTCCCCATAACTTCCGGCTGTAAAAACCAGTGGGGGTTGTAGTGGCAGAAGAAACTGCGTGATTCTCAAGAGACTCCTCTTAAAGGGCCTGCAATGGACTTAGGACTCAATGCGTACCCACCCCTTCTCAGATTTAGCACCAGGGCAACAGCTGGAAGGGCACAAGTAGCATATGGCGAGAAGGGGAGAAAGTGAAGTGACTAGCAACGGGGACGAGTGTTGAGAGACAGATTCTTCCTGGGCAATCTCCAGAGGACAGGGAGCAACATTGTCTCCTCTCTGAGCCCTCCCCTAAACAGAGCCACAAAGCAGTTGAATAGGTTGCCACACCCTGGCTATTACCTAAGGCTCTACCCCATACAATTTACAGGTACCTTTTCTACAGTAGGCCACAGTAGTAAGAGAGAGTCAAAACAGCGCAACCTAATACTCAGAAACAAACACAGGGAGGCTGCCAAATTGAGGAGACAAAGAAATATGCCCCAAATGAAAGAACAGAACACAACTACAGGAAAAGAACTAAATGAAATGGAGGTAAGCAAACTATCAGATGCACAGTTCAAAACACTGGTTATCAGAATGCTCAAAGAAATCATTGGGTACTGCAACAGCATAAAAAAGGCCCAGACAGAAATGGAGGTTGCATTAATAAATAAAAACCTAGAGGGAACTAACAGAGAAGGAGATGAAGCTGAGAATCAAAGCAACGATTTGGAACATAGAGAAGAAAAAAAGCATTCAATCAGAATAGCGAGAAGAAAAGAGCATTCAAAAAAATGAGGATAGAATAAGGAGCCTCTGTGACATCTCCAAACATATACCATCATCCAAATCATAGGGGTGCCTGAAGGAGAAGAGTAAGAGCAGGAAATTGAGTACTCATTTGAAAAAAATTTGAAAAACAACTTCCCTAATTTGGTGAAGGGAATAGACATACAAGTCCAGGAAGCACAGAGAATCCCAAACAAGTTGGACCCAAAGAGGACCATACCAAGATATATCATAATTAAAATGCCAAAGGTTAAAGAGAATTGAAAGCAGCAAAAAGCAGGGAGTTACCTACACCAGAATTCCCATAAGCCTATCAACTGCCCTGTCTGGTGTGGCTTAGTGAACTGAGCACCGGCCTGTGAACCAAAAAGCCGCTGGTTCAATTCCCTGCCAGTGCCCATGCCTGAGTTGCAGGCTGGTTCCCCATGTGGGACTGAACAAGAGACAACTAATCAATGTTTCTTTCACACATCAATGTTTCTCTCCCTCTCTAAAAAGAATAAAATATTTTTTACAAAAACAACTGAATCTAAAAAACAAAATAAGCAAACAAGCAGAACAGGAACAGAATCATAGACATGGAGATGATAGACATAGACATGACATGGAGGGTTATCAGCTGGGGGGGGTGGGGAATAGGGGAGAATGGGGGGAAAGGTGCAGGGAATAAGAAGTACCAATTGGTAGTTACAAAATAGTCAGGGGGATGTAAAGAACAGCATAGTAAATGGAGTAGCCAAAAAATTTACATGCACGACCCATGGACATGCATGACCCATGGACATGAGCTAAGGGAGCGGATTGCTGTAGGGAATGGGGGGTAACTGGGCAGAAAGGGACAAAGGGAGAAAAATTGGTACAACTGGAATAGCGTAATATTTTTTTTTAAATCATGTACAGAAACTTTGGAGACTTTCAGAAACTCTTTAATGCACAAATAACTGAAAATAAGTTAAAATTTTATCCTCACCCTAGGACATTTTTGTTTTTTCATTGCTCTTTAGAGAGAGGAAGGGAGAGGAAGAAGCATTGATGCAAGAGAGAAACATCAGTTGGTTGCCTCCCATACATGCCTGTATTGGGGATTGTATGTGGCCGGACTGGGAATCAAACCTACAACCTAGGTGTATGCTCTGACCAGAAATCAAACCAGCAACCTTTCATTTAGGGTAAGAGGCTCCTACTAACTGAGTCACATCAGCCAGGGCAGGAAATAAGTAATTTTAACAGTATCTTTTTATGAGTTTGTATTTTGAAAGGAATAGGAAAAATTAATCCATTAATATTAATGCTTGCTTTCTGCTTTTAAATTCAAATTGAGGATGACTGATCTTTGTCCTCTGAACAGGGGCTGGTGTCAATCAAAGACAGACCTCAACAAATGATTGTCCAAGGTGTCTATGAGCTGTATGATCTGGAAGAGACCCCAGTGAGCTGGAAAGATGACACTGAGAGAACAAATCGATTGGTTCTTATTGGTAAGTTACAAACCATTAAATTTCTAAAGCAAAGCAGAAAAACAGGGTTCTGCACAAATAACACCCCTTTTTTATTACAAAATCATAAGCATGTAATTTTGTAACATAAAAATACCACACTCAAGCACACCATATGACATGTTAGGTGAAATGTTCAAATTAAAACTATAAATTATTACATCCATGTTATTAACCTACCAGCCATACTCAAGCAGGGCTTACTTCTGCTGGATCCTATATATTTGAAAGGAATATAATGTGCTATTTAAGTAGCATTAATCAATCAGAAGCCATTTTGTAAACCTACAAGTAAATAAACTTGCAGTTACTGTATCTGTCTTATTCACATGATAGCATTCATAAGAACTTGCTAGACCTTTTACTCTTCCAATAACTTTAGAAAAATGATTAGTCCAAGTGTCAGTTGAGTTCTGAAGGATTTAACTAGAAAGTTAAGGAAGGAATCACTCAGTTACTATTTTTCATTTCTGAAGGTCATCAAGAACTTAATGATCTGGAGTTGACAGGTCAACTGTGTCATTTTAATAAACATGTTTTAATCACACCATATTTTTCTCTTTGCAGGCAGAAATTTGGATAAGGATATCCTTAAGCAACTATTTATATCTACTGTGACTGAAACAGAAAAACGGTGGACAACATGTTTTAAAGAAGATCAAGTTTGTCCATAACATTAGATGCATTTCTTATCAAAAGGATTGGATAATAATATTAGAACTATAGTTCCTCCTGGGTATATTTCAAACATCTGTTCTTTGCATTCTGCTGTGAATTCCGGTGTGTGTTAAAATTATATTTTATAAACTACATATGATATAGTAAATCAATACTGTAAAACATTTGCTATTTACACAATAAAATACAATATCCTGTTTTTTTAATAAATGTTTCACAAAAATGTCTTTCAGAATTAGCTCTGAAGTTTATATATACTGAGCTTTTTATCCATGGAAGTTACTGTATTTAATGATGGTAAAACTTACTTCAGCATTGTCATTTTCCTTTAGAACTACAGCATCTTGCATAGATATAATTAACAAAAACATTTTGAAAGCAAATAACGTCACCATTTTTATTAAATGAAATAAAAGGTTTGTTGTGCCTAGACACTTAAAGGTGGAAGAAATCTGAATCAAATAAATTAATCGGAACCATCTCTTCGTTTTAGTCAATTGTAAGTCTTACTGATAATCAGTGTAATGAAATTTCAGCCACTTTGAAATTTATTTAGAAAATTCTAATTGTAGAACTTTTAATTTTAAGTAGATTTTACTACTGGTATTAAATTCATTTTGGGTTCTTTGAACTTTTCAAGATTTTAGAATCAACTAGAAAGTGATGAGGTACAAACCTTCAGATATAATTGCAGATAATTTGATAATTCAACAATCCTTACTTGTCTCCTACTCCTCTAAGAGCAGGTCAGCATTATCAGTATTCAGATTGTAGGGGAACAGCATTAGATAGAATTTAAAGAAGACCTTTCCCAAACAAATAGTTGTTAAATATCAGAGGAAACTTACCAAAATGGCATTTTTGAATTTTTTTTTATAATTTTAAATAAAGAATTACATTTGTGTATCTTGAACGGTTCCATTGTGTTTGGAGGCATGTCCACTGATTAAATTATCTATGCCCCTTCCCCTGCATTCTCTTATCTTTTATATATATATAACTTTTCTATATTTGTCCATTTGCCTCCTAAATCCATTCTCTTAAAGAGTGGTTGAGAGAATACCCATATTTTGTGGCAGCGTATTGTACCATAGAAAGTCATCTGATATTTGAGTCAGATCTGGGCTTTAATTCCAGCTCAGCTACTTCTTGGCTGTGTAATCTTGGGCAAGGTGTTTTCTCTGAAATTAGTTTTTTTATTGATAAAGTTGACAGTGACAAACCAACCATTCAGTGTTCTTGTGAGGATTAAATAGGTTTGTAATGCACACAGCTCAGTTCCTGGCACACAACAGAGCCTAAGTAAATGTGTCTTCGTCCTAACAGTTTTAAGTTCGTTTTATAATTTATGTAGTCACAATAGTACTTCATAATGTTCTTCGACAAATAATTCATATGGATTCATATCTTCTAGACCAGAAAGGGCTTATAATTGTCCTCTTGTGGGAGAAATACTTGAAGTAACGTTAATCTATATTCTTAAAAATCTGTATTTGTAAAGCTCATCAATATTTGGCTTTTTCCTTTAAAATGCGTTAATCTTTAAATATTTTTCATTATGTATGTACCACATGAATTCAGTTGTGTTGTAAAAACGCACACATTGCAGATGAAGCCATTCTCTCCTGGCCTTTCTCCTTCAGTCACTGCCACTTCTTAGGGGTGGGCAGTATTGTCAGTTTAATGTCTGTTTTTTTAGATGTCTCTTCAGTCATACACACATTATGGTTTATGTTGTTTCCCAAAGTGAATTATTTTCCAGTGATTAAAGCTTTAAGCCCCTTCTTCAGGAAACTTACTAACTTGCCATAAATATCCTCAAGGAAATGTTTTATTTTTATAATGTGAATGTTTTAAATAAAGTGTATATTGTAATGCAGTTTGCTTTTTCTAAAAAACTCAACAATTAGTCTTAGATCTTTCCATGACATTATATAAAAATATCTTATTCTTTTAACTGCTACATAGATATTCATAGTATTAGCCTAGAATACATTCATTTTTAAAAGCGTTTATTGAGAGCTTCCAGTTTGCCCAGGTATTAGTGCTGGGGCTGAAACTGCTCGTGGCAGATACTGCTTATGTTCTGGTGGAGGGACATAAAAGAAAACATGGGGTCGCCTAAAATCATTGATAAAAATAGATTGACTTTAGATTGAGTGATCATGGAAAGGCTCTCAAAGGAGGGTGGCTTTTAAGTTGAGACTAGAATTAAAAGGAGTTGTTCATGCAAAGTAAAGGAAAAGGTTCTACGCAGAGGGAGCGGGTTTGCAGAAGCCCTTGAGTTGGCACCGAGCACAGCGTGTTGGAAGACCAGGAAGAAGGCAGAGTGGTGCGAGGAGAGGAAGCCAGGGTCTGAGGTGGGATTGGAGCTGTGAGCTGGGGCCAGACTTGGTGCTCTTTGTAGGACAGAGTGACACACATGGATTATTCTGAAAGCCGTGGGAAGTAAAGTAAAGGGGTTGTGACTGATGTGGCAGATGAACTAGTTTTCTGTTTTTAAAATTGCAGGCAGTGCTGCAGTGAACTGCAGTGCATCCTCTTCGTTCCTATGTGACACTGTTTCTCTGGCGTGGAGATGTAAGGGTGGAACCATGAGCTTCCAGGATACTCACATTTAAAATTTTTAATAGATATTGATTAGTTGCTCTTCCAAATATCCGTACCTCTTTACTGTAGTATATGAAAGTACCCATTTTTCCAAACTAGCTAATACAATTTAACTTTTGTCAACTTGCATGGAATGACATACCACTTTTAATTTAGATTTTATTCTGATTTTGATGATATTTATATATTCTTTTCAAGGTGTATTGTCCTGTTCTTCATTTTTATTTTCTGCCAAATGAAGTATTTTTCAATGATTAGGGCTATAGTATAATCAGCACCTTTAGAGGACTTTGGAACTTGCCATAGATATCCTCAAGAGAAGATTATTTTTTTTTATAATGCAAATTGCTAACAAAAAAATAATGTGGGCCATTCTTTTACTATAGAAGATTTGCAGGGTATTGGTGATGATCAAGGTTTAGGCATAGGTCATCTAAAACTATAGCTTACTGAGTGAGTGATATGGGATAAATTACAAAATCTTTGAGTCTTTGCCTCCAAATAAAATGGAGATAATGAAGATCTCTGGATTGTTCTAGGGATTTTAAGCACCCTGGATACAGAATCTCAGTAACAGTGAATTCCCCCTTTCCAGCAAGACTTAAAAAAAAGAAATTAAAGCTTTTGTACACCTTCTTATAATGTGGTTCTTTCCTAGGCTTTCCATAGCTTTAGTGAAAGGCGCAAGAACATTGGTACTGAGTCTAAGATAGCTGTAGGAAGGGTAAGCACAGGGTAAGAGGGAAGACCAGGTGACTGAAAAGGTCTAAAATTCCTAGGTCCTGAAGTTTGGAGGGAATTATCAACAAAATAAACAACAGTCTTTTATTTAAACATTTATGGGCTTGGCTGCTTGCTACAAATTGAATCATTTGGACCACTAGAGTAGATGGGAAAACGTTTAGATAGCTAGGTCTAGAAATGCCATATGTTGTGGAAGTAGTGTCGAAAGAAATGAATTCTGCTTTTGACTGTCTAGCAATTCGACTTACTTTGATGAGCAAGATAGACTGCATTTTTTTCTCACAGTCTTACTATTGGAATGAATTTCACCTTTTAGCTGTTGGTGACCAAATTGCCTTTTAATTTTCAGAGTAAAATGGAGAGAAATCAGACATCACCCTTCTTGTAGATTAGTTTGGAATGGTTCTTTTTCTAACTAGGATAGTATTGTGTGAGCATTAGAAAAGAAATAATCAGGTATTAATTGAGTGCCTATTATGGCCCCATTTTAAATGTGGCTGAACACAGTATAAGGCTTTTCATTCAATTTAATTTTCATTGGCGCAGTTCTTTGTTTTTATGTTATATTTTGTATAACAATTTTATTTGGATGTAACTCATATACTATTAACATACCTTACTTCTAAAAGAAACCCTGTATCCATTTGCAGTTATCTCCCATTTTCCCTTGCTCTTACCCGGGCACTAACAACTACTTTCTGTCCCTTTGATGCTCCTTTTTGGACCCCTTTCATTTCCTATAAGGTTTTCTTGGTTCACCCTGTTGCAGCACTCTGTTCCTTTTCATTGATAGATGTCCAGTTGATGGACATTTAAGTTTTTAACTCTTGGCTATTATGTCCATTTTTCCCATGTTTAATTTTTTGAATTAATAGATTATATTTTTCATAAAATTTTAGATTTATGGAAAAATTGAGCAGACAGTAAGAGTTCCCCTATATCACCGTATCACCCCAAACCCTGCCCCCCTCACAGAGTTAACATCTTACAATAGTACATTTGTTACATTAGTGAACCAGTATTGGTACAGTATTAGCTGAAGTCCACAGTTTACTGAGATATCCTTAATATTTTACCCAATATTCTTTTTCTTTTCCAGGATCCTTATCCAGGTTTCCATACTACACTTAATAGTCATGTCTCTTTAGACTCTTCTTGGCTTTGACAGTTTCTTAGACTCGACTTGTGATGACGTTGATAGTTTTGAGAAGTACTGGTCAGGAGGAACATAGGATGCTCCTTTTTTGGAATTTGTGTGTTTTTGTCATGATTGGATTCAGGTCTGGGGGAGGAAGATCACAGGTGATCACAGGGAAGATCAGCTCATCATATCGGGGATATACTATCCACACAGTTAATGTCTGTTTTTGTTGGCATTGATCACCTGATCATCTGGCTGAAGTAGTGTTTGTCAGGTTTGCCCACTGTACAGTTACGGTACCCTTGCCGCCCCTTCCCATACCATACTTCCTGGGAGGATGTCACTAAGTGCTGTGTACGTGAAGGGCTGAGTATCAACCTCATTTGTTTGGTATTCTTCTGCAAGGGAGATTTGCCTTCCCCCTCCCACCTTTATTAATTAACTCAATCATTTATTTTTATCACTGTGGACACATGGATATCTATTTTAATAATTTGCGTTATAGTCCAATATGACTTCATTTTCTTGCTCACATTGTCCCAGCTTTGGCCATTGGGGACTTTTTCAGTTGTTTCCTGTGTGCCTTTTGACACATCCCCCCATTAATGTGGGTTTTTTTTCCTTTGTTCCTCCTCTTCTCCTTCCCTTTTTAAATAACCCTAATCTCCACAGAAGTTGACTCTAGGAAAACTAAACAATACTCCCTTTCCCAGGTGATCCTGATTCCTATGCTGATGGAAGAACTGTGCCTTACCTGCATGGGGTTGAGGAGGAGGCGTCTGGGAATCTGATGTTAAATAAGACCCCTGTTTTGCCCTCCAGTTTAATTTAGTAGATCACACAAGTGGTAATTGGTAAATTTGGGATTTAAACACAAATCTATTAGGCTCAAAACCTGTTATTGGTCTTCCTTCAAACTACATACAACTGGGAAGCCTTAGGTGGGTAAACACCTCAGGAATAAGAAAGCTGTTTTCAAAATTTTAGCCTGAAGGAATTAGCTACTTTAAGCTACTTTTTATCCTGAATGCACTAAACTACTTTTTAATTATATGTTGACCTCTTAGTTGGCTTGTGACTTCTGATTGAAGAGTCATTATTTTACAAACACTCATGAAAAATTTACTATGTGACAATCAATGACCTAATACAATATTCTTTTATGCTACATTTTTATTAATGCCACCTCAAATTATAAGTCATGGGCTGTAAATTACAAACATATACCATGGCTTAATATTTTACCGTAAGATCTCTATTTATATAACAACCCGTTATATTCTACCGGACTGCTACTTTACTCTGAGTTGACTAAATGTAACCATCTAAAAATGTTACCTCCAAAGATGTCAGGTCATTTAAAGAGGCTTCTCGGTCCTATCACTCCTCTCCCATGTTGAGAAATGAACGCCAAGCCTTTGATTGCAACCGCAACCTCTCCTTGCCTCGCTTACGTGTTGCTATTTATTATTATAATAAAAGTGCTTAATGTGATTTTTTGTTTTTCTGAAAGAAGGGCGGTGGGGGAGAGGGAGAGGAGGCTCTCCCATCCTAGGTGCCTCCCTTGAAGTTGTGGGGCCATTTTGTGAAAACAGGGTATTTCAAACTAGGTTTGTACTGGTTACTATGTGGCACACTCAATTCAGTTGGCTGTGGCCATTAAAAAAGAAAAAACAGCGTTGATCACTCTAGTGTGAGTATGTTGCTTTAGGAAACCCATTGTAGTTACACAAGTCAGGATATACATGATTGTTTTGTAAAAATGCATTTTGCACCGTGGTTAAATGTTCGGAGAAGTTGGAGAAGCCCTGCGGGGAAGGGGGCTTCTCTCTAGTTCTCCTGCTTTCTCTCCGCCCTGAACGCCCACAAGGTACTGCCAGGACATTTCAACCTTTTCTGAAAACTTCAGTCCGAGAGAACGTTTTGAGGAGCTGGGGTTGGGGAGGGGGCGGTTGGAGCAACAAGGAAACAGCCCTTCACAACCCCTTGAGTTTGGGACTAGAGAGTAGTTAAAATAGTTCAACTCCACAGCCTGGATAAGGACAGAACCCACCAATGAAAATGGGGGATGAACCAGCTCTGGAACATGAAAACATAATTTTACACATTCTTTGACAAACACCATATACATTTCACTGCCCCCTTTCTATCCTCCAGGAGAGGGGCCTGAATATCCAGGTGGTTGTAGATGGTTGGGTTTCATATTTTTCCTACTCCTTTCTTTACTTGCGCAGTTTTGAAAGTGCATTAACGAAGCCTGTACGACTCCCGGAGCGACTGGCTGGCTAACCTGAGTAGCCGGAGCATCTTCCTTGGTGGCGGGAGAGTGTGAGGAGGAGGAGGAGGAGGCTGGGGGCTCTTCCCAGGTTGGCCAATGCGCAGAGGACCCTCATCATTGGACTGCGTGGCGAGGAAGTAGGCGCGCTCTGAGGTAGGACAAGAATGGTATATATGGAGGGGCTGAAGAGCCCACCACACAGGGACGCGAAGAAGCTTCAGTAAAAGGCAAAGTGCATCTCTGCTGGACTTGGGTGCTGTAAAGGAGGAGAAACCAGCAGTAAAGAACATCTAAAGGAGTCACCAGGAGCGTTTCCACTTCTTGGGACGCCCTACCCCTGGAATCCAGCCGAGCCCACGGCAGGACAGGTGAGTGGCCGCCAATCCCCGGCGGCCGCAGGACCTGTTCCTCCATGAACCTGCCGGTAATCGAGCGCCTTCGCTCCACACCGCCGCGCAGTCTCCGGGGGTCCGAAGGGGAAGATGGTGAGATCGATATCTTGGGAGAGGAGGAAGATGAAGACGAGGAGGAGGAGGAGGAGGAGGAGGAGGAAGAGGACGACGTGGAGGATGAGGGAAGCGCGCAGTTCCTGGAGCCGCTGCACCCGCCGGAGCCGCAGGGGGCGCGGCCGGGCGCGGGCGCGCTGCCGGGAGAGCGCTCCGAGAGCCGAGGCCCCCGGAGCGACTCTCCGGAGCTTGGCACCAAGTTCAGGGCCACCGCGGGGTCTGCGGCGGCCTCTGGGGACGCCCCGCAGCCCGCCAAGCCCCCCTACTCCTACATCGCACTCATCACCATGGCCATCCTGCAGAGCCCGCACAAGCGCCTCACGCTCAGCGGCATCTGCGCCTTCATCAGCAGCCGCTTCCCCTACTACCGCCGCAAGTTCCCGGCCTGGCAGAACAGCATCCGACACAACCTCTCGCTCAACGACTGCTTCGTCAAGATCCCCCGAGAGCCCGGCCACCCGGGCAAGGGCAACTACTGGAGCCTGGACCCCGCCTCCCGGGACATGTTCGACAACGGCAGCTTCCTTCGGCGCAGGAAGCGCTTCAAGCGCCACCACCCGCCCCCGGGAGCCCACCTGCACCACCCCTTCCCCCTGTCCGCAGCGCCTGACGCCCTGCACGGCCCCTACGCGGGCCTGCTGCTCGGGTCCCCCGCCCGGCCGCCCGTCCCCGGGGCCTGCCCCGCCGCCGCTCCTGGGAGCCGCCTGTGCTCTTTGCTGCACCCTCATCCCCTTCGCTACCTGCTGCTGTCCGCTCCTACCTACTCGGAGGCACCGAGGAAAGCGCAAGGCGCGGACCTGGTGACCCCCGGCGGCGCCCTTACAGCGCTGCAGCCCCCAGTGGGCTCCCAACCTTGGGAGAGGGGCAAGGGGCCGGTGTCGCGGCCCGGAGGTGGATGCACCTCCTTCAGTATCGAGAGTATCATGCAAGGGGTCCGAGGAGGGAGTACAGGGACCGCGCAGAGTCCATCCCCGACCCCGTGGGGCTACTGTCACCTGCTGCAACGCCCGTCGTGCCTGTTGCACACCCAGGCCGCTGCCCCCTTGCTCCACGTGTCCGCCGCCGCCGCAGCATCCGCTGCCCGGACGGTGCTGCAGCCGCAACAGCAGCAGCACCAGGACTTGGCCAGCAAAGGCGCGCTGCCGGGCCAGCACAGGTCCGCCGCTGCGCCGCGGGGGTGTCAGCCGGGCGCCGAGGGCTCCAGGCCGAAGTCGGGCGGAGAGAGGACCTGGAGCCTAGAGGGAGGGCAGAGAGTCCCCGGTCCGGCTCTCCCAGCCGCCTGTCCTCCGGCACTACACCTCGCTCGGCCCGGACTAGGTGTAGGTCTTAGCATCCCGCAGCAAAGCAGCCACTAACTTCTGTTCGCTGCGAAACGTCTACAAAGGGAAAGTTGGGCACCGCTTCTTCAGACAACACGAACGTAAACTTCCCGTGGTGTCAAGTCTCGGTTTTTCTGTTCCAGCCTCCACTTGCGGTTTCTACGGCTTTTCCGATTTACACGTTTCCAGAGGAACGATGAACGTGAGTGGAGCATTTTGTTCTGCTATAAAAAGAAAAACAAAGATACAATGTGCAATGCCTTCCTGTTTCCCCTTCTTCACTCCCTCGGAACTGCAAGTGGTATTCCTAAGTCCAGTACAAAGTGCTCGTGTCCTTTATGCCGTCCTGAAATCGATGTGTAATATAAGCAGAATTTTAATTCCAGAGCATTTAGTTCTGACCGGTGTCTCTGATGTGCCAACTTCCATGGAAAGGTGTTAAAATTAAACTCAGCCGTTTAAATAAAGTACTAACTCATTACACGGCATCGTTTACTTTATATTATTTCTCACTATTTGCTTTCTAAATGGAACTTATTTTAAAACTAGTTCTTTCCTCTCAATTAAACCATTTAGTTTTACAATTTTCATTTGTCATAGACATCAGAAACAACCCATTTTCAAAATGGCTTTTTTTAAAAAACCTTCCAAATACTTAAAGTTGAAAAAGACCTGTTTTTTCAAATAATGGGATTTAATATGTATAAAACCTACAGAATAAAAGAGTTAGAGGAAATCTAAATATAGTCTCCCTTTTTTTTTTCATCTTCCTGAAGACGTTGATTTTTCTTCTGAATGAGATGGAGGGCTATTTGAAATCAATTTGGAAGGTAGTGGCCAACATTTATTGGGTGTGGGGGCAAGGTATTTTAAAAAGCATTAGAACTTTCAAAACGAGGGCCCAAAGAAAGGGGCTATATCAAATAAACACTCATGTTCTGGACTTTTACAATTTCAAAAACACTCTTTCTAGAAAGGTGCTTTCTAGGAGCTCCTATTCTCCTTCTTCAGAAGAGAAAGTAACTTCTGTTTGTTTAGAAAAGAGTTAATTTCTGAAAGGACGTTGCAACCAGAAAGATTTCGCTGTGCTCCGCTTCAGGCGACTGAGTGGGAGGGGAAAGAAGACCACGATGCCCATCGTGAAACATCCTGCCAGAGGAAGCAAATTTCTAGAGATCCTGCCCCTTCCAACCTTTAAACAAACTTCTCTTTCCTCCCCTCCTCCCTCCCCTCCCCCTCCCCCTCCCCTCCTCCCCTCCCTCCCCTCCCCCCCCCCCCTCCCCTCCCCTCCCCCCCTCCTCCCCCCCTCCCTCCCTCCTCCCCTCCCCTCCCCTCCCCTCCCCCTCTCCTCCCCTCTCCTCTCCTCTCTCTTCTCTTCTCTCAAGAGTTACTTTCAGTGCAGGTTTCGAAGAAGTCTCTCTGTGACTGTGAAGAATGTCGTTCCCCCTCAGCAACTCCCAAGCCCCAACTATGAGTTTGTCATTGCAGGAGGGAGGGATGACAAAGAGACAGATGTATTTATAGCTGTTTAATATAGCTGTTTTTACTCCAACTTCTCAGCTTCACCCCATCACTCAGAGCTTCTTTGGCACCTTCTACCTGTAATCCTTACCTCCTCGGGGCTTGGTAGTACGGTTGCAGGGACGTTCTGGAAAGTTCCCAAATCCAGCCTTTGGTAGCCCCTGGGATGCGGAGCTGGGAGTCTACCCTGGGCTCCGCACCTGCACCCCTCGCCTGCATGGCTTGCACAGCCAGTCCCGTACATAAGCTCCTGTCCTCGGGCTCCGGGCGACCTCTCCCCTAACTTCTTTCGCCTCCATCCACATCTCCCTCCTTGGGCTTTGACCATTCGTGAACTCAGTCTGTCTGATCCGCAGCACCTCAGCTTTAAGGTCCTTTTAGCAAATTCTCCAGGTTTGGGGCAACCGAAGAGTTTGGAAACAAGCCTAGAATAAAGGGAGCCCGTTCACATTCCAACCCTTCCTTGCCCTTTGTGCGAAAACATCTCCAGGCCTTCATTCATTCATTCATTCATTCAACAAACGTCGGAGCGCCTGGTAGCGCTTCCTGCAGACCCTCAAGTCTCTCCCAGCGCTGCCTGCGCCTCGCAGGAGACGGCGAGTTTTCCTCCCCGCTTTGCCCCAGGCCAGACCAGTACAGCCGCCAACACTGGTGACTGCGGGTCAGAACCCTGCTTCAGTCGGCCCCAAGCTCCTAATTTTCACCTAATGAAACGATGTTCAATGATGAATTTTCGGAAAAAACATTGAGTCAGTGAAAGTACATTAAATGTTCTCCAACCGAACGTGGCGCTTCGGAGGCACCTGGCTGGCAGCGCGGCGACCGCGTGGAGAGGTCCGGTCTTAGTGGGGTCCGGGCGAACCACTGATAACGCCGAGCCCGCACTGCTGGCCGGGCTGGCACGGCCCGCAGTTGGGGTGATGTCGCAGCACCCTAGGCAGGGAGGGTGAGCGGCGGAATGTGCACAGGCGGCATCGTGCTCAGGGCGGTGAACAGGCCTTGCCGCGTTTCGGACCGCGCAAAACGCTAGGCCGATGCTCGGGATCCCCGTGGTTCTGCGCGGGGGCGTCCCGGAACCTTCTGAGTCCGGGCTTCTGTTCCCCCCGGTGCTGGCCTTGGTCAAGAGCGCCGGTCCATTTAAAAATCCCTGTGTACAGGGTACGTCGCTTCCGAATTGCGAGACGGGATCGGGTGTCTGAGGTTCTGAACCCTCGGACTCGTCTGCTCGAGGCTAGAAAGCTGGATGCGTCCAGAGGCCCCGGGGGAGCGGAGTGCTGGGGCTTGGGAGGCTCAGAGAGGTGTGGGCGAGAGCAGGAGGGCAACCTGCAAGGGAGACTTTCTGGTCCAGCCCGCTGTAGTAGTAACAATAGCGGCAACCTTCTATCTCCAGCTCTCCGCGCCACGCACTGGATTACACCTTTAACCCTCTCGGCACCAGTGACACTACAGAATCCCAATTGTACAGTTCAGACATTTGGGACTTAGAGAAATTAAGGAACTCTTCCGAGGATCCTTCTGGTCCCTTTCTGGTGTTTGAATCCCAACCCCACGGGCATCCGCAACTTGCTCCTGCCTAGGCCTCCCTCGTGCCGCAGATGCAGCGTCCGGAGCGGCCAGGGAACTTGGCACCCCAAGGCAGGAAGCCCCGAAGGACGCGCGCGCCGCCAGTTCCCCAGCCTTTCGCCCCGGACTCTGCTCTGCGTTTCCCTAGGAAGGTCACTGCGAGGACAGGAGCCGGCCACGACCCGGCCGCCGTCGAACTATTGGGCTCCACTTAACGCAAGATCTCAGAGAGGCCTGAGAGTGCGTTCTTCCTCCCTGGCAGAATTTTCGTTCTCTTTCCCCTCGAGGTTCCCGAGGACCCCGGCGTCGGCGGTACAGCGAACCCCAGTCCGCTCGCAGCGGGGAGCCGCGGCCTCTTCCCTGCCGCCCACCCCGGCGGCGGTGGTGGTGGGCAGCCAACTGCCCCGCACTGCTCCGCAATTCGTCTCCGGAATCTTGACTTTGTGCGCCACTTCGCGCCCCTCGCGGGGCCCTGGATCCAGACGACGTGAAAGAGTCGCTATGCGCCCTAGTCGCTGGGCGGCACAGGCCTGGGAGAGGCGAGGGAGGGTGAGGACGCTGGGCCGCGGGAGCAGCTGCCCTCAGTTCACGCTCGGGTCAGAAGGTGGGTTGGGAGTGAAGGTGGAGCCGGCCCACAGGGACGCGAGTAGAGGTGGGGGCCCCGATGGAGAAGGAGAGAGGGCGTCTGGGGGTCGGGCGGGCTGGAGCCCAGGTGCCTGTCGGCGTCAGCATGCCCCCCACCCGGCGCAGGTGGATCCCTCCCGGCGGCGACGGTCTAAGCGCCCAGATTCTGTGTATCCAAAACCTTTGGTGATAGTTTATTCTTGGGAGTGTCGCTAACCCTCCAGGAACCTTTCTCTTCTCCCGTCGGCCTAAACCAGAGTCCCCTCGCTTCATTCTTATGGATTGGAATGCAGTAACAGAAGGTAGACGACCCAGAGAAACAGCACAAACTATTAAAAAAAGACTAGAATCAAAACGGCGCTAAGCACTAATAAGGCTGGGAGAGAGAGAAAGCAAATTTCATCTTCTAAGGTTTTGCACTAGTCTTTCACCACATTTTACTGAAAGTGGGCCGGGTCGGGGGGCGGGGGACTCATAGCTCTTACCCCCCCCCCGCCCCCCCGCCCCGTACTCAGGACAATTTTTCAGAAATGCCTTCGCATTAACATGTGATTCCAAGTCTAAATTGTAATTTTATTCTAATTGCTAATGTCACCTTCTTGTAATCTCTACAAAAATAGTTTAGTGTTAATGACTGCTTTTTTAAATATCAGCACTGAAATTACTTAAAGGTGTTTTAAGCATTTATTGATTCCACATACACCACAACTAGGTTCAAAGAACTTAATTAGGTGATGGCTAATACTATCAAAATTTGCCAGCCTCTCCCCACTCCCCCACTACCAAAATAATAATAATAATAACAATAATAAAACAAAAAACCCAGAAAATTAGATGTAAAAAAAAGGATTTGAGAATCCAGTCTGAAATTTACATCGACACCAGTTCCCTGTTCCTCAATTACCTTAATATAACCAAGGTATATACGTTAAAATGAATGCATATAAAAGAAATACTTGGATATAAACTTTACTTTCTTATTTGTTCTTACAATGCACGAGTATGTTTATTGAAGTCAGTAATTAAGAATATTTGGGGATACTTACAATTTATTCAACTAGTGAAGCAGTTTCTATTCCCAAATTCAAGCAGAGAAAAATGAGATTAAATTAAGCATGAGAGATTTCCTTTTCTTCAGATACTGTAACTTTGCTTTCTATAGCTTTGCCTGTAAAGTCATATTTATGACCGATAATTCTTCAGATAAAGATGACTGATATGGTGTTATCCAAGTAACTGCTATATGAAAGATACTGTGTTGCATTTCAAGTAATATTTATATTTTCCCTCAATTTTTGTCTTTAAAAAAATAATGGAAACTTCCAAAC